CACAGGTGGACTCCAATGAAGTTGTAGAAACATCTCAAGGATGATCAATGGAAACAGGACCTGCACCTGAGCTCAATTCCGAGTCTCATAGCAAAGGGTCTGAATACTTATGTAAATAAGGTATTTCTGTTTTTATTTTTAATAAATTTGCAAAAATTTCTAAAATATCGTTTTGTCTTTGTCATTATGGGGTATTGTATGTAGATTGCTGAGGATGTTTTATTTATTTAATCCATTTTAGAATAAGGCTGTAACAAAACAAAATGTCAAGGGGTCTGAATACTTTCCGAAGGCACTGTATTTCCACACTATGAGGTTGTAATAATATTGTGAAATGGTGAAAATTATGGTAATGCACTTTTAGTGCAAGAACTGTTTGAAAAGACGGCTACTGTTTTTGTTTCTTTTTGACCATTTTAATTGAAAACAATCACAGTAAGGGACTATATTGTTACCTAAAAAGGATTTGATATTAAGATACAAATAGCTGCATTGGACCTTTAAGTACAGTGTGTTTTCAGGAACACACTTAGCAGTGGTTTACAGCAGCTGCCCAATCATAGCTCATTGCTCAGCAGCTACAGTGCTATCTATCCCTGTCATTCTATTGGGAGCAGGGAGGCCATGCTAAATTCCTGCCAGGCCAAACGCTCAGCCAGCAGGGATAGCATGTTCCTCTCTCTCCTCTCCTGGGCTCTACTAACAAAAACAGATCTAGACACTGTGGTCATTACTGTTGCTGAAAGGCATAAACATTGTCTGTACTGCAGAATATCAGGTTTGCTACTTAACCTTTTTAACATATGCCAACTCACAATAGGCCTACGGTACGATTTGCCCAGAATATGGTCAGTTAGGTAGGTTAACAGTTGGTTTGAGGTCTGACACTTAGATGCAGAATGTCCAGCTGTGTTATGGGAATGACATTTTCTGTTGCGGAGTAAAAGCAGAGGCCAAGACATTGTCAGACTAATTGCCAAACTAACTGTCTGTCTGTCTCTGTTAGAATTTGACCACAACGTTTTATTCAAAAGTATCCTGTTCCAATGCCCACTTCAGCCTTGGTAAGTTACTGCATGTCTAAGTAAAAAATTATTACAGCAAACCCCACAGTGGAAATGTCTAAACAATGTTGCCACTGTATGTAAAACCTGATACTAAACGGTAGGCCTACACTCTTAGAAAAAAGGGTTCCAAAAGGGTTCTTTGGCTATCCCCATAGGAGAACCCTTTTTGGTTCCAGGTAGAACTCTTTTGGGTTCATGTAGAACCCCGAAGGGCTCTACTTGGAACCAAAAAGCGTTCTTCAAAGGGTTCTCCTATTGGGACAGCCAAAGAAGGTTCTAGATAGCACCCTGTTTTCTAAGAATATATGGGTATAACATTAATAAGAATTGAGTGGGTAACAATGCCCAGCGGGAAAAGCTGGTTGAAATGACGTCAATACAACTAGTTTGCAACCAGGTTGTAATGGTGTAGTAAGGACGTCATTTCAAACAGTTTTGCTCGCCTGCTGGGAGGCTACATGATCTATTTATGACATTATCTAACCCATGACGCCTCTTCCCTTTAATACTCCACTGCATTAAGTTGTAATGAGATCAGATCAGGGACTGTCCATGTCTCATAGGTTGTCAGTTGTCTAATTCTTTAATCAGGTTAGTGCCTCATTACCTTGGTAACCTCTTGAACCACTGTCAACAAAGTCAGATATTGTCTGAAGGAGAATAATTGCACCAGAGTGGAAAGACAGCAGAAAACATAGGAAGCAGCTGTTTTGTCTGTTTATTTGCTACCTACAGGCTACAGACAAGTGAGGGTGTCTGTAACACAGAGCCAGTTGATCTTTCCCCTTTTAACATTTCAAAAGGGAACTGTGAACTCTGACTTCCAACTGCCACCTTGTGGTACAATTGAGCAACACCACACTGTCGCCAAATACATATCAAGCGACATATATGTACAGTCGTGGTCAAAGGTTTTGAGAATGACACAAGTATTGGTCTTCACAAAGTTCGCTGCTTCAGTGTTATGAGATATTTTTGTCAGATGTTACTATGGTATACTGAAGTATAATTACAAGCATTCCATAAGTGTCAAAGGCTTTTATTGACAATTACATTACGTTTATACAAAGAGACAATATTTGCAGTGTTGACCCTTATTTTTCAAGACCTCTGCAATCCGCCCTGGCATGCTGTCAATTAATTTCTGGGCCACATCCTGACTGATGGCAGCCCATTCTTGCATAATCAATGCTTGGAGTTTGTCAGAATCTGTGGGTTTTTGTTTGTCCACCCGCCTCTGGGGAGATTCCTGGCCATGGACCCAAAATGTCGATGTTTTGTTCCCAGAGCCACTTAGTTATCACTTTTGCCTTATGGCAAAGTGCTCCATCATGCTGGAAAAGGCATTGGTCGTCACCAAACTGTTCTTGGATGGTTGGGAGAAGTTGCTCTCGGAGGATGTGTTGGTACCATTCTTTATTCATGCTGTGTTCTTAGGCAAAATTGTGAGTGAGCCCACTCCCTTGGCTGAGAAGCAACCACACACATGAATGGTCTCAGGATGCTTTACTGTTGGCATGACACAGGACTGATGGTAGCGCTCACCTTGTCTTCCCCGGACAAGGTGTTTTCCGGATGCCCCAAACAATCGGAAAGGGGACTTTATCCCAGTCATGGTTAACAGAGGAAGAACAATGATTTCAAGCACAACCCTCATTTTAAAGCTTCCAGTCTGTTATTCTAACTCAATCAGCATGACAGAGTGATCTCCAGCCTTGTCCTCGTCAACACTCTCACCTGTGTTAACGAGAGAATCACTGACATGATGGCAGCTGGTCCTTTTGTGGCAGGGCTGAAATGCAGTGGAAATGTTTTTTGGGGATTAAGTTCATTTTCATGGCAGAGAGGGACTTTGCAATTAATTGCAATTAATCTGATCACTCTCCATGGCATTCTGGAGTATATGCAAATTGCCATCATCAAAACTGAGGCAGCAGACTTTGTGAAAATTTGTATTTGTGTCATTCTCAAAACTTTTGACCACGACTGTACTATATCTTCACAACATATATTGTTTTGTTCATTTCATCATAACAGTTAACTATGGTAAACTGTTACTCTTTGATGAGCTTGATCTTCAAAAGGACTGATACATTTAATGCTTTAGTACCATGTCACCACCACAACACAGACTTGTGTAACTGTGTGATTCCACCTCCCTACCGGCTGATATCCCAGGAGATGTTAGTTCCCTCTAAAGTAGTTGGCCTCTGACCATGTTCCTCACTAACTGCTGAGTAGCAGTGAAACAGCATGCATCAAAGAGCTCATATGTGTCCCAAATGGCACCCAATTCCCTATATAGTGCACTACTTTTGACCAGAGCACTATAGGCCCTGGTCAAAAGTATTGCATTATATAGGGAATCGGGTGCCATTTGGGACACACACCTAGAGGTCCTCCCCTTCCAGCCTCCCCTCTGCCTCCTGCTCCTTGGCAACAGTCAGGTGACCCCGCCAGAGTTCACTGAAGCAAGAGGCTGTGTTGCTCCTCTTGTCTCCCTCGCACACACTCGCTCCGCTGAACAGGGCCAGGGGGACTGTGCTGTGTTGCATGACTCTGTCTGTCTGGGCTCTGCCGAGTGCCGACATGACCACAGAACAGGAGAAGAATGAGCTCACGCAGACTCCTCTGCTCAAGATATGGGTGCCTTGGCTGGGGATGGGAGGCTGCAAGCTAAGTCGCCGGAGAGGCTGTAAGTGTGAAGAACCAATTTCTGTCAAGCTCTTTCTTTCTCACATTCTCTTTTTCTTCCTGTTTCTGTCTGTTTCTCTCTCTCTCTCTTTGTCACTCTCTCCTTCTCTTCTCCTGTCTGTCTTCTCTGTCTCTTCTTTCCTCTCAACTTCCTACTTCATTCATTAGTATAAGCCACGGGAAAGTTATCTTCAACAACAGGTGGATGGGTGTTCAAGTTTTGTTCTTGTTGCTATGTAAGACTATGATTGATTGTTTCCTAGCATAAATCTTAGATCTGTTCAATGGCTTCCCTCTCTCCTCCCCCATGCCCCATGTGCAAGAATAAGGTTAATCACACTCATGGCAGGCAGACAGGCAGCTGTCTCTCAGTGGAAGAAGTAGGCCAGTCCTGTTCTCTGCTTTCCTAATCTAACATTGTCCTGTGACCTGTATGGTATGGATACTGTACACTGACGCTGCAGTCAGTCACCATTCATACAGAATACCACTTTCTATATCCTTCAATACGTCCTGGTTCTCCTATATCCTCCCTCCTACAACCTACTGTGCTGTGACGCTCTTCTAAAGTCTCAGTTAAGTGGAGTTGCTTCCTGACATGTGAAATTATATCTGATGCATTGTGTGGATATATATACAGTTTGAGCATGACTTTATTGAGAGGTCTGATGATTCTGTTCCACATACTTTGACAGTTATTTTATTTATATGATGAAATCTCATGCTGAACAAGAGATACTTAATGCTGGTACTGTCTGCAATGCCACACTTGTCCCAGGGTGGTGTTGTCACCGATGTGACTGGCTGCATGGGATACTTTGTGGTTCTCAGGGTATATTCTGAAGTAGTCTTACACTCTTAAAGGAGTTGGCTAATTACTCTAGGATTATTATGCAGAACACATTACCTCTGGCGATCCTGTTGACGAGGTAAGTAAGACATAACATGGTAACAATGAGGACTCAACCAATCCTTGCCCGTTGGGAGATGACTCATCTGATAAGTGTGCTCTGGTTAACAGATATTTGATATCTCTGTCCCCTGGTGTCCTCTCTCTTGAGGAGATGGTGAGGATTACCTCGGTACTTGGTACACACACGCATGCACACACACACTCACTGTGTGTGTAAGTGTTTACTCTCACCATTGATTTGTGCCTTGTTAAAAGTTTTCACAGAAAACCATTCTATTTACCTACCAGGCATGTACAGTAGATTCCTAAGGTCTATCTTGTTTATCCCCAGCCTCCGTGCCCCAGCTCACCAACTCCCCCACTCTTATTGTGATGGTTGGACTGCCTGCCAGGGGGAAGACATACATATCCAAGAAGCTCTCCCGCTACCTCAACTGGATAGGGGTTCCAACAAAGGGTCAGTTCACACCCACACACTATCTGAGTTAAATGACCTCAGGTGTGCTTGAGTACTTATACACGTCAATGAGGACTGGAGTTGATTGTCTTTCCCTTATCTATCCTCTATCTTCTATCATCAATCACCTATCGTCTAGTCTTCAACTTGGGCCAGTATCGCAGGGAAGCAGTCCAGAGCTACAAGAGCTTTGAATTCTTCAGACCGGACAATGAGGAGGCCATGCAGATACGCAGGTAAGAGATTCCTCAGGTTTGAGGGGTTGCTCTATCTATGTGATGAAGCTATGGGCAGGTCTGTGTCTGAAATGGCACCCTTTTCCCTATAACGCTCTACTTTTCCACTACTTTCTGGGCATGGTCAAAGTAGCAGTGCACTATATAGGAAATAGGGTGACATTTCGGACGCAGACTAGGACTGTGGCGGTTTGTGTATAGTATTATGTAACGATTGAATTGCTATGTCCTTTTGTGCTGTGTGATTGATCTTTCTGTGGTTTGTTAATCCTATGATTTCTCATTGTATTTTCTTTCTCAGGGCCTGCGCTACAAATGCCCTTAAAGATGTAGTTATCTACTTCTCGAAGGAACATGGACAAGTAGCCGTGAGTAAGAGGACTATTTAAAACTGCTCCTCTGAGCTGACTGTCAATAGGGCAAACACACCACACCTCTTACACATGACTGAGACATACTCAGGGTGGACAGGGCATTGAACTTCAGACATACTGTACAGACATACTGTACAGACACACTGTACATGATATACTGGACACTTCTAGGTCCCCATGGGTAAAAAGAGCTTTTGACCTTTATTGCAGAGTTTCCCGAACTCGGTCCTGGGCCCCCCACCTCTCGGTGCACGTTTTGTTTTTTGCCCTAGCACTACACAGCTGATTCAAATAATCAAAGCTTGATGACGAGTTGGTTATTTTAATCAGCTGTGTAGTGCTTGGGCAAAAAACAAAATGTGCACGCAGGGGGGGCCCCAGGACCGAGTTTGGAAAACCTTGCGCTATGGGATTTACAGATTAAATTAAGGTTAAAGTAATATACACTGTGCCAATGTTCCCTCTAAACGGCGGGTGCTCAGCTCCCCCGGGACTGCTCCTCAGCTACCTCGAGGCTGCCATGCAGAAGAAATATCAGCCCACCGAGAGAAGCACGAGATTGAACTTCACTCAACTTTCTAGAGCGGTGGTCACCAACCGGTCGATCGCGATTGACTGGTCAATCTCCAAGGCATTCCTAGTTGATTGCCAAACATTTAGGTAAAAACCCAATGATAAAGCCTTGTGTTTTTATTTTGTTTTAGTAGTCTCAGGCTGTTGGTGGTAGGTGCACCCGATTCAGTTGCCCTGCGCGCCAAGTAGGCGAACAGTTGCCATTTTGAACCATTTCATGTGTCTGAAGGTACAAACTCTGCTTTCTGGCGGGCCCGGAGAGAGCAAATCAAGTGCACTATAGGCCTACCGCTGGCCAATTGGATGGCTCAGATTACGTGTCTGCAGTAACGTAGCAGGCATAAAAGAAAGCTACAGCAAAATTGATCCTGTGAGATTTCAAAATGTTTAAAATAAAAACAATCAAATCAAATCAAATCTTACTTGTCACATGCGCCGAATACAACAGGTGTAGTAGACCTTACAGTGAAATGCTTACTTACAAGCCCTTAACCAACAATGCAGTTTTAAGAAAAAGTGTTAAATAAAAAATAGATAGGGTGTACAAATTTGATTAGATGTTCAGGAGTCTTATGGCTTGGGGGATAGAAGCTGTTAAGAAGCCTTTTGGACCTAGACTTGGTCCAAAAGGCTTCTTTTACCATTTTTAGGGCCTTCCTCTGACACCTCCTGGTATAGAGGTCCTGGATGGCAGGAAGCTTGGCCCCAGTGATGTACTGGGCCGTACGCACTACCCTCTGTAGTGCCTTACGGTCGGAGGCCGAGCAGTTGCCATTGATGCAACCAGTCAGGATGCTCTCGATGGTGCAGCTGTAGCACTTTTTGAGGATCTGAGGACCCATGCCAAATCTTTTCAGTCTCCTGAGCGGGAATAGGCTTTGTCGTGCCCTCTTCACGACTGTCTTGGTGTGTTTGGACCGTGATAGGTTGTTGGGGATGTGGACACCAAGGAACTTGAAGCTCTCAACCTGCTACACTACAGCCCCGTCGATGAGAATGGGGGCGTGCTCGGACCTCTTTTTCCTGTAGTCCACAATCATCTCCTTTGTCTTGATCATGTTGAGGGAGAGGTTGTTATCCTGGCACCACAAGGCCAGATATCTGACCTCCTCCCTATAGGCTGTCTCATCGTTGTCGGTGATCAGGCCTACCACTGTTGTGTCGTCGGCAAACTTAATGATGGTGTTGGAGTCGTGCCTGGCCATGCAGTCATGGGTGAACAGGGAGTAGAGGAGGGGACTGAGCACGCACCCCTGAGGGGTCCCCCTGTTGAGGATCAGTGTGGAAGATGTGTTGTTACCTACCCTTACTATCCTTACCACCTACCCTTACCATGACTAGAGAGAGACTGTCAACGAATACAGCAAAGAGCTGCTGTTTTTAGAAGTTAGTTCATGTTTAAGTTCTTACTCAGCAGCGTCAACACTTTGTATTCAACACTTTTATAAGCCATAAAATGTGCGTTCTTCCTATTTCCACAACAACAATACAGTGATAATATATGCGGTGATACAGTAATGTATTGGGCCTATAGCTTACTGCACGAACCTCATTGCTACAGTACTGTTTTTAATAGGTTCATGTTGCATAGGCTTACGTTTTTTTAAGTCATGTTAAAAATGAAAGTGATCTTGACTCAGAAAAGGTTGGTGACCACTGTTCTAGAATTTTCCCTGATAACACTATTAACATTTCCCTTTACTGTAGCAATTGTGATCGAATCAACGCAATATTAGCCACTTTCAATGCAACATACCAAAACAAAACAAACTATGCAAGAGATTTTGTTGTAGGCAGAACGCATCGGAGTAGGATTCTATCGCATTGACACGCACTACTCAGCCCGTACTCTACACAGACAGGTGCGGCATAAACAATCAGAGCTGCAGTAGGCCTATATGCAAATAGACCATTGCCATATATGGTCCTGTGCAGTTTACTTTGAACTGGACTGTGTTTACAGCATGAGGGGTCATGAGTAGATACGCTTGTTTGGAGATCAAAGCGAGAGCAGCATGTAGCAACGTGTGCACATTTTGTTCATATCCTTTGCTAGTTAGTGAGTTATTAGCCCAGTTATAGATAATTTGTAGTCAGCAATAGGGGAGTGATTGCCTTCTACAAGAAAAGTGAGTCAGGTAAAGAACTTTTTTTTGTCTTAAAGGGGCAGTGTTGTATTTTGAGACAGGCTTGAAGAAGCTAAGTAGCCAATAGGCAGAGGGTAGCATAATTTGCCTGATTCTCTGTAATAATGGTATTTTATTTTGTAAAGTGGTTTCTTGCATCAAACAACACAACAAAATGTTCAGTCACCTCCTTGTCTGATGAACAAGTGGATAAACAGGTTAATGTCAAACCCTGCATGTTTTTTTTCAAAAGTCTCATGGAATGTAGGCCTACATTGAACACCACACATTGGCTGCTACTGTAGGCTGAATGATTGAACAGCTATTTCCATGTTAAAATGTAATGGGATGAATTTTCTCCATTGTTTTTGATGGTAGGCCACTCTGGTAGGCCTACATTATGATCAAATAGCCACAGTAGCCTACTTGGCCCTGTTAAAACTGTAACTTAAAGCGGGTACAGCCTCAGTGTTCACAGTAAACTCGCGCTGGAAGTTGCACAGAATTTTCACAAAGTTCAAGTTTGTGCTCAGCAGACCTGAAATTTGCTCAGTGCCGAAAATCTTTTGAGGGAACATTGCACTGTGCCCACAGCTGCTCCTAGCATCAGAAGTCCACAATGTTCTGCTACATTGACTGGAATGTACAGATGTAGGATCTTAATTTGAGCCAGTTTGCTACAGCAGGAAAATAATCCTGCAGCAACAGGTAATTTGAATTTCTATGTGAATTATAATTCATTGACATTTTTGTAGGGGTTGATACATTTTTCGTTAGGGAAAATCAAGTCTGAAATTCTAAAGTGGAAATGACAAACTATAGAATACTTTTTAAAACTCAAATACACAGGAAAATGCTCAGCATCAAAATAGTGATACAATTAAGATCCTACATCTGTACAGTAGATTAAAATATATTTTCTCTCAAATTACTCTCCTCTTCCCTCCAGGTGTTTGATGCCACCAACACAACACGGGAGAGGAGGATATCCATTGTGAGCTTTTCCAAGGAAAAAGGCTACAAGGCAGGTTCAGGTGCAGGCCGACTGACAGTCCTGTAACTGCTACTATACATAATGAATAAACACTTTACTACCACTGTATCAGCTAAATACAAATTAGAATGGTGATATGCATTAAAGCTCAATTTGAACTGGACAAAACCCCTTTGAAATAATGAGCACAACTGCATTTTCCTTACAGGTATTCTTCGTGGAGTCCATTTGTGATGATCCAGACATCATTGCACAGAATATCACGGTGAGAAAGTCTACTCTCAAACCTTACTCTCAAATACCGAAGGGCTGTCTGTTTCTAAGATGCCAAACTCTACAAGATGTTAAACTCTACACTGTGACACTGACCTTTGTCCCAGGAAGTGAAGGTGAGCAGCCCAGACTATGTGAACTGTGACAAGGATGAGGCGCAGGCAGACTTCCTGAAACGTATCGAGTGCTACAAGCAAACCTATGTGCCTTTAGACGATGAGAAAGACAGGTAGAGTTCAACAGACTGTGCCGACTAGCCACGTCCCAGAACTGTTTGTGCCGTCTTGCCAACTCCTGTATAGTCATTGTCAAAAAAAGAATCTGGGATCAGGCTTTATGCCAACAGCTTCTCTCCCCAAATGAGAGAAAGACTAAAAACGAAACTGAAAACAATACTTGGTTATCCAATACCTGTGATTAACAAAAAATCCATCTCTGCTTCTGTTTTCCTGTATTTCCCCTACATGTTATTGTGTCTGCACCTGTCTTAAATAATAATTGTCTCCCTATGTGTCTCTCTATATTTCTCATACAAAGGCACCTGTCTTACATCAAGATCTTCAACGTGGGCTCTAGGTACCTGGTGAACCGTGTGCAGGACCACATCCAGAGCCGGATCGTCTACTATCTCATGAACATCCACGTCACGCCGCGCTCTATCTACTTGAGCCGCCACGGGGAGAGCGAGCTGAACCTGCTGGGTCGCATTGGGGGAGACTCAGGACTCTCTCCCAGGGGTCACAAGGTCAGTAGGCCACACAGCCTCTGTGTATATGACATGAATCTCGGCTCCCAGAACCTAATCAGCTAACATTCTCATATTTAGCCTGTCACCAGAGACTAATATTACATCGTTGTTTTAATCCAGATATAATGCTATTGTCCCACCCAATTACTTAATGTATTGGGCCGTGCCTTATGTAGACAAGAAAAAAACCATAAAGCTTGGTGCATGTGACATACAGTACAGTGGGGAGAACAAGTATTTGATACACTGCCGATTTTGCAGGTTTTCCTACTTACAAAGCATGTAGAGGTCTGTAATTTTAATCATAGGTACACTTCAACTGTGGTAGACGGAATCTAAAACAAAATCCAGAAAATCACAATGTATGATTTTTAAGTAATTAATTTGCATTTTATTGCATGACATAAGTATTTGATCACCTACCAACCAGTAAGAATTCCGGCTCTCACAGACCTGTTAGTTTTTCTTTAAGAAGCCCTCCTGTTCTCCACTCATTACCTGTATTAACTGCACCTGTTTGAACTCGTTACCTGTATAAAAGACACCTGTCCACACACTCAATCAAACAGACTCCAACCTCTCCACAATGGCCAAGACCAGAGAGCTGTGTAAGGATATCAGGGATAAAATTGTAGACCTGCACAAGGCTGGGATGGGCTACAGGACAATAGGCAAGCAACTTGGTGAGAAGGCAACAACTGTTGGCGCAATTATTAGAAAATAGAAGAAGTTCAAGATGACGGTCAATCACCCTCGGTCTGGTGCTCCATGCAAGATCTCACCTCGTGGGGCATCAATGATCATGAGGAAGGTGAGGGATCAGCCCAGAACTACACGGCAGGACCTGGACAATGACCTGAAGAGAGCTGGGACCACAGTCTCCAAGAAAACCATTAGTAACACACTACGCCGTCATGGATTAAAATCCTGCAGCGCACGCAAGGTCCCCCTGCTCAAGCCAGCGCATGTCCAGGCCCGTCTGAAGTTTGCCAATGACCATCTGGATGATCCAGAGGAGGAATGGGAGAAGGTCATGTAGTCTGATGAGACAAAAATAGAGCTTTTTGGTCTAAACTCCACTCGCCGTGTTTGGAGGAAGAAGAAGGATGAGTACAACCCCAAGAACACCATCCCAACCGTGAAGCATGGAGGTGGAAACATCATTCTTTGGGGATGCTTTTCTGCAAAGGGGACAGGACGACTGCACCGTATTGAGGGGAGGATGGATGGGGCCATGTATCGCGAGATCTTGGCCAACAACCTCCTTCCTTCAGTAAGAGCTTTGAAGATGGGTCGTGGCTGGGTCTTCCAGCATGACAACGACCCGAAACACACAGCCAGGGCAACTAAGGAGTGGCTCCGTAAGAAGCATGTCAAGGTCCTGGAGTGGCCTAGCCAGTCTCCAGACCTGAACCCAATAGAAAATTTGGAGGAAGCTGAAAGTCCGTATTGCCCAGCGACAGCCCCGAAACCTGAAGGATCTGGAGAAGGTCTGTATGGAGGAGTGGGCCAAAATCCCTGCTGCAGTGTGTGCAAACCTGGTCAAGACCTACAGGAAACGTATGATCTCTGTAATTGCAAACAAAGGTTTCTGTACCAAATATTAAGTTCTGCTCTTCTGATGTATCAAATACTTATGTCATGCAATAAAATGCAAAATAATTACTTAAAAATCATACAATGTGATTTTCTGGATTTTTGTTTTAGATTCCGTCTCTCACAGTTGAAGTGTACCTATGATAAAAAATTACAGACCTCTACATGCTTTGTAAGTAGGAAAACCTGCAAAATCGGCTGTGTATCAAATACTTGTTCTCCCCACTGTATATGTGTCTCAAGGGGTTGGGTTGAAAGCAAAAAGATCACATTTAATTATCCGCAAAGAAAATGGACAACAAAGCATTCTTCTATAGTAAATTATTGTGTAAACAATCACCCCCCCCACACACACTCCCTGTGAACATGGTCTGTCCCTGTAGTATGCCACTGCCCTGGGGGGCTTCATCAAGGGCCAGCATATAAAGGATCTGAAGGTGTGGACCAGCCATATGAAGAGGACCATCCAGACTGCAGAGCATCTGGGGATCCCATACGAACAGTGGAAGGCTCTCAATGAGATTGATGCAGTAAGTCACTGTTTACTGCTGAGTTTAAATGAGATTGATGCAGTAAATCACTGTTTACTGCTGAGTTTAAATTAGATTGACGCAGTAAGTCACTGTTTACTGCTGAATTTAAAAGAGATTGATGCAGTAAGTCACTGTTTTACTGCTGAATTTAAATGAGATCGATGCAGTAAGTCACTGTTTACTGCTGAGTTTAAACAAAATGTATGCATTTAATCACTGTTTACTGTTGAGTTTAAACGAGATTGATGCAGTAAGTCACTGTTTACTGTTGTGTTTAAACGAGATTGATCCATTTAATCACTGTTTACTGTTGAGTTGAAATGAGATTGATGCATTTAATCACTGTTTACTGCTGAGTTCAAACGAGATTGATGCAGTAAGTCACTGTTTACTGTTGAGTTTAAACAAGATTGATGCAGTAAGTCACTGTTTACTGCTGAGTTTAAACGAGATTGATGCATTTAATCACTATTTACTGCTGAGTTAAACAAGATTGATGCATTTAATCACTGTTTACTGTTGAGTTTAAGCATACATTTTATGTGAGTGTGTAACGCATGTATACAGTTTACAGTGAATGCGTGACCAACTGGGGTAAAGTAGTAGCCTACTGTAAGTAGTAGCCTACTGAGCTAAAGTCAATGCATTGCCCCGAAGAGCTAATGCAAGTCTTCCGGTCTCGGGATAGTTTACTCATCATTGTGCATGCCTGTACCACTCACTGACATCTTCCCTGCACCGTCCGTTCCTCATCAGGGTGTGTGTGAGGAGTTGACATACGAGGATATCCAGGAGAACCACCCAGAAGAGTTTGCACTGAGAGACCAGGACAAGTACCGGTACCGTTACCCCAAGGGTGAGGTAGGACCTGTCTTAATTCACCACACACTGCTTACCAAATACACACAAAATATACATACACTGTACATTACTCAGACAAACTGTGCTGATCTTAGTACAACACCTAGCGATCTTAGTACAACACCTACTTTAGCCATCCAAGTACAACACCTTACCATCTTAGTACAACACCTAGCAATCTTAGTACAACACCTAGCCATTTTAGTACAACACCTAGCCATCTTAGTACAACGCCTACTTTAGCCATCCTAGTACAACACCTAGCCATCTTAGTACAACACCTAGCGATCTTAGTACAACACCTAGCCATCTTAGTACAACACCTAGCCATCTTAGTACAACACCTAGCCATCTTAGTACAACACCTAGCGATCTTAGTACAACACCTACTTTAGCCATCTTAGTACAACGCCTAGCCATTTTAGTACAACACCTAGCGATCTTAGTACAACACCTACTTTAGCCATCTTAGTACAACGCCTAGCCATCTTAGTACAACACCTAGCCATCTTAGTACAACGTCTAGCCATCTTAGTACAACGCCTAGCTATCTTAGTACAACACCTAGCCATCTTAGTACAACACCTACTTTAGCCATCTTAGTACAACGCCTAGCCATCTTTGTACAACACCTAGTGATCTTAGTGCAACACCTTCTTTAGCCATCTTAGTACAACACCTAGCGATCTTAGTACAACACCTACTTTAGCCATCTTAGTACAACGCCTAGCCATTTTAGTACAACACCTAGCGATCTTAGTACAACACCTACTTTAGCCATCTTAGTACAACGTCTAGCCATCTTAGTACAACACCTAGCCATCTTAGTACAACGCCTATCCATCTTAGTACAACACCTACTTTAGCATATTAGTACAACGCCTAGCCATCTTAGTACAACACCTAGCCATCCTAGTAAAACACCTAGCCATCTTAGTACAACACCTAGCCATCTTAGTACAACACCTAGCCATCTTAGTACAACACCTAGCCATCTTAGTACAACACATAGCTACCCTAGTAGAGGTGGATCTGAGTGACTGGGAAAGATAATTAAAAATTATGTTTTTTATTGTCACATACACCGGATAGGCGTAGTGAAATAATAATAATAATAATAATAACATGCCATTTAGCAGACGCTTTTATCCAAAGCGACTTACAGTCATGTGCGCATACATTTTTACGTATGGGTGGTCCCGGGGATCGAACCCACTACCCTGGCGTTACAAGCGCCATGCTCTACCAATTGAGCTACAGAGGACCATGTGTGGGTCAGCCATAGCAGTACGTCAGCCCTGGAGCAAATTAGGGTTAAGTGCCTTGCTCAAGGGCACATCAACAGATTTTTCACCTTGTCGGCTCAGGTATTCAAACCTTTCCAGCACGAACCAAGCCGAGCTGGTAAGGAAGGAAAGAAAATAGAAAGCATGGTGTGGTTCAGGTTGGTGAAATAGTGTGAAAAAGGTACATTTCCTGGTACGATTCCTTTTCCTCTCTCTACCACAGTCATATGAAGACCTGGTCCACCGTCTGGAGCCAGTCATCATGGAGCTGGAGAGACAGGAGAATGTGCTGGTCGTGTGTCACCAAGCCGTCATGCGTTGCCTGCTTGCCTACTTACTAGACAAAACCGCAGGTACTTTACAGTAGGATAACAGTCCAACAAGATATGGATTTATTTGGCATTGTCTTGTGGTAATGATGTTGGTCATATCCAAGATTATCTCGTCACCCAGAACCAAATCTCGCATGCGCGCTGGACTAGAGACATGTACAACTTTGTTTTCCCACAGATGAGTTGCCATACCTAAAATGCCCACTTCATACGGTGTTCAAACTTACACCGGTGGCCTATGGTAAGTTGTTGTCAAAATGGACTTTAACAAATTCATATGCTGTAATTTTATCCAACAATTTCACTCATATCTCTTTCTCCTGGTACAGGGTGTAGAGTGGAGCATATTTGCCTAAACATTGAGGCAGTCAACACGCACAGAGAGAGACCTGGGGTAAGCTTTACAAAATATATCAATTTATTCCAAGCACAATATGAAAATCTTATAAGAGATTCCACAAATCCAACGGTGTGACTCCATTTGTGTTGTTGTTGTTGTAGAATGTGGACGTAACCAGAGACCCAGAAGAGGCGCTGAAGACTATTCCTGACCACTTTTGAATATGATTTAGAGGATATGGACTCTAGGACCATACTGAACCAGCAATATTATATTTTCAAGTTTTAACTTTATTTTTCGATCATTTATGTCTTTGTACCTTTTCATACTAAACCTTGTCAAAAGCAAGTGTCAAAGGGAAAAAAGATAAGGAAGAACACTGGATGAATACAAGATCAAAAATGACAAACCGCACTGCCTACAGAAACAGTGAGGGGGGATATTGACTTTCTGCCTCCTAATGGCAACATGGGACGGCTAAAGCCCAGTACTGTATGAGTGTTGTTGACTGACCTATAATGTCCAAGAAATGTGCCTCAGTCTGCTCTGTCTGACCCTGGAGTCTCATGGTGAAGTGCAGTTGGACAGGCGGTGTCAGAGGTGGTTTGGCATAGAATTGTGTGAAAGTGGCCTAACATGTTGAGGTCAATCAAACGTTTTCTCAGACAATTCTAACAAAGAAAAAAATGTCATCCATTCTAGTGAACTGGTAGATTAATAAACAAATATTCTGTTTGTAGTCATTCTGTGTTTCTTGATGATACATGTGTAACTAGGTGTCAACACCATTGACAGCTCCCAAACAAACACAATGTTGGTTGCAAATAAACTTTGCTACAGAGTCCCTTGGCTTGGCTAGATGTGCATAACTGTACTGATTATATATTTTCAAGTCAACTTGTTGACAATAAATACATTTGTGACAAACTATTTGTTAAGACAAAGAGTTTATTGTACTGAATAACTGGAACTAGGTTTGTGAAATTGCCTCACCAATTTTAGAGATCTGTTTTACAGATAATTCAAACTTTTATTAGGGTCACAATTCAGCCTGACTATTCATGAAAGAGACTAGATGACAGAATATAATTTATAAAAAAGAAAGATACTTGTTCTACATTTGTATACCTATGTTGTAGCCTATGTATTTGTATGTCAGGGTGGGATAGAGTCCTTATATGGTCCCATTTTGGAATTGAGAAAGGGGGAAGAGCAGAGAGTTTGGGATGTTTTTCTGTCAAATTGTCGACATTCATGGGTTAATAATTCGTCATTTCTTCTCATGCTCCTGATGGCAACAGTGCGCGAAATTTCCAGTTATGCACACTCAAGGAGGGATACCCTACTGAACTCACAGGGACTCAACTCTTGCAACTTTGCGCCCACTGATTTTCTTAACTTTTCATCTGATTATCTGTCAGTTATAAATTATACTTCTACAACTTATTTTCTGTAATTCTTTCCTAAGTTTCAAAACGATTAAAATAAGGTGGAGGGAGAGGAACGAGTCGACTGCCCCTTGCAAAACTAACTTGTGTAACATGTGAGGTTTGTCCTCCCACCGCGTCCTGCGTATACTCACTGGATTTCTCTCACTGACTGGCAAAGTGAGACCACTGGCAACAGAACGTTTTTCATCTCGGAGACAAAAGTATATGACCATGGGGAAAGTGGATTTAAAAATCTGTTGTATTTTCTTTTTCATCATCATCTCAGTCCAGGGGGGATTTTCAGAGGAACATGGAGCACCCCAGGGAGCAAAATACATACTTTTACAGGTGAGAATGATTTTATCTTCCTATGGGACTGGACTAATATAGGAACATTTTGAAAAACATGCTACTCAGTCAAGACAGCCTCGAAAATCATAATTTATCCAAGCTCGTCTTTTTCCTCCTCATACTATGCCACATTCCTTTTTGCACTCAATATGTAATTTTTGCACTCAAGTGAGTGGGAAACTTTAAATGGTAGCCTACTGCACATTACTTTGGTATACAGTGCCTTCAGAAAGTATTCATACCCTTAACCTATTCCACATTTTGTTGTGTTACAGCCTAAATTATGAAAAATGTATGCACTCACTAACCGTAAGTCGCTCTGGATAAGAGCGTCTGCTAAATGACTAAAATGTAAAATGTAAAATTCAAAATAGATTAAATATAGTTTTTTTTCTAACACATCTACACACAATACCCCACAATGACAAAGTGAAAACATGTTTTTAGAATTTTTTGCAAATGTATTGAAAATGAAATACAGAAATATCTAATTTACATAAGTATTCACACCCCTGAATCAATACATGTTAGAATCACCTTTGGCAGCGATTACAACTGTGAGTCTTTCTGGGTAAGTCTCTAAGAGCTTTGCACACCTGGAATGTACAATATTTGCACATTATTCTTTTTAAAATTCTTCAAGCTCTATCAAGTTGGTTGTTGATCATTGCTAGACAGCCATTTTCATGTCTTGCCATAGATTTTCAAGCTGATTTAAGTCAAACTGTAACTAGACCACTCAGGAACATTCAATGTCATTTTGGTAAGCAACTCCAGTGTATATTTGGCCTTGTGTTTTAGGTTATTGTCCTGCTTAAAGGTGAATTTGTCTCCCAGTGTCTGTTGGAAAGCAGACTGAAGCATGTTTTCCTCTAGGATTTTGCCTGTGCTTAGCTCTATTCCGCTTCAGTGATGTGTTGTGTTGGATTTGCCCCCAAACATAATGATTTGTATTCAGGACAAGTTCATTTCTTTGCCAAATGTTTTGCAGTTTTACTTTAGTGCCTTGTTGAAAACAGGATGCATGTTTTGGAATATTTTATTATGTACAGGCTTCCTTCTTTTCACTCTGTCATTTAGATTAGTATTATGGAGGAACTACAATGTTGTTGATCCATCCTCAGTTTTCTCCTATCACAGCCATTATACTCTGTAACTGTTTTAAAGTCACCATTGGCCTCATGGTGAAACTCCTTCCTCTCCAGCAACTGAGTTAGGAAGGATGTATGTATCTTTGTAGTGACAATGTGTAATAAATAACTTCGCCATACTGAAAGGAATATTCAATGTCTGCTTTTTTTTACCCATCTACCAATATGTGCCCTTCTTTGCGAGTCATTGGAAAACCTCCCTGGTCTTTGTGGTTGAATCTGTGTTTGAAATTCACTGGGGTACAGAGATGAGGTAGTCATTCAAAAATCATGTTAAACACTTTTATTGCAAACAGAGTGAGTCCATGCAATTTATTACGTGACTTGTTAAGCAAATTTTTACTCCTGAACTTATTTCGGCTTGCCATAACAAAGGGGTTGAATACTTATTAACTCAAGACATTTGAGCTCTTTAATTTAGAAAAACATACACCATATATACAAAAGTATGTGGACAACCCTTCAAATTAGTGAATTTGGCTATTTCAGCCACACCCGTTGCTGACAGGTGTATACAATTGAGCACACAGCTATTCAATCTCCATAGACAAACATTGGCAGTAGAATGCCTTACTGAAGAGCTCAGTGACTTTCATGGAGGCACCGTCATAGGATGCCACCTTTCCAACAAGTCAGTTTGTCAAATTTCTGCCCTGCTAGAGCTGCCCCGGTCAACTGTAAGTGCTTTTATTGTGAAGTGGAAACGTCTAGGCCACACAAGCTCACAGAATGGGACTGCCGAGTGCTGAAGTGCGTAGCGCGTAAAAATCGTCTCTCCTCGGTTGCAACGCTCACTACCGAGTTCCAACTGCCTCTGGAAGCAATGTCAGCACAAAAAATGTTTGTCAGGAGCTTCATGAAATGTGTTTCCATGGCCAAGCAGCCACACACAAGCCTAAGACCACCATGCGCAATACCAAGCATCGGCTGGAGTGGTGTAAAGCTCTCCCCCATTGGACTCTGAAGCAGTGGAAACGTGTTCTCTGGAGTGATGAATTATGCTTCACCATCTGGCAGTCCGACGGACAAATCGGGGTTTGGCGAATGCCAGGAGAACGCTACCTGCCCCAATGCATAGTGCCAACTGTAAAGTTTGGTGGAGGAGGAATAATGGTCTTTGTGGCAACAGTTTTGGGAAGGCCCTTTCCTTTTTCAGCATGACAATGCCCCCGTGCACAAAGCAAGGTCCATACAGAAATTGATTGTCGAGTTTGGTGTGGAAGAACTTGACTGGCCTGCACAGAGCCCTGACCTCAACCCCATCGAACACCTTTGCGATGAATTGGAACTCCAACTGCGAGCCAGGCCTAATCGCCCAACATCAGTGCCCGACTTCACTAATGTGCTTGTGGCTGAATGGAAGCAATTCCCCGCAGCAATGCTCCAACATCTGGTGGAAAGCCTTCCCAGTAGAGTGGAGGCTGTTATAGCAGCAAAGGGGGGACCAACTCCATACTAATGCCCATGATTTTGGAATGAGATGTTCAACGAGCAGGTAAATAAAAAAAATGTGATCATGTAAATTAATTCCACTTTGACATTATGGGGTATTGTGTGTAGGCCAGTGGCACAAAATCTCAATTAAATCCATTTTAAATTCAGGCTGTAACACAGCACAATCTGGAAAAAGTCAAGGGGTATGAATACTTTCTGAAGGCACTATATATGGCAGATGTGAATACAATTATGAATAGCCTACATTTACATCCATTTAAAATAATGTTTCTATTTCACCCAAAAAATTATATTCAAAACGTCACTGAAGAATGAACCCCGGCCTGCAAATTAAAATGTTTTCCTCTCTTTAAAGGTATTTATTTGTTTGTATTGTATATCTTGGATATGTGGTAAAGTATTGACACAGCAATGATTTGTAATCAAAATTAACATTTGAATCCGAACCTGTGCAGTGTGCACCTCACTGCCCCTCTGTGTACAGTGAAAGCATTTATTTAAAGTTCCCCCTTCATTCATGAATAGCTTTGATTCATCCTATTTTGACACAGAAATATTGACCCAACACCACACATAGATTCTGGAGATTAATTTAAAAGGAGGGGATTTTGTAAGATAACTACAGTACTTGGTAGAATTGTGTCACTTTTCCAAGTCAAGTTCTCCTCTTTAATACAACTTATTATAGTAGATAAGGACCTACATGTACTAACTTACATTTTAAATAATCTTCTTTCCCATACAGAGATAAAAAATGTTATACATTATGGAATAATGATGGCTTTAGGGCAAATCTGTGTTCTTAAATCACTACTAAGCAAGCTTTTATGAGTCTATTAAGATTTTAAAGCTTTGCACAATGTTCAGAAGGCATCAGCTTGTTTTGATTACATTTTTCCAAACTACAGGACTCCAGCAATCTGTTACTGTCAGGGCTCTGGTGTGTATAAATGTTCGGTACTGCTGCGCTCAATCCCATAGTTAGGATTCATTACACTTTTATTAACTTTCTCTGTGTTATATTCTCTCCAGAGAGTGAGACGCCAGAGCAAACCAGCTAAATCTGTGGTGAGTATGAGCTACATGGAGCAGCCTGTTGGTCATGACCCAGTCCCAGTGGAATGTGTCATAACCAAAACAGAACATTCAAATCAGGGATACCTGGCTAGCGTCATAAGTGGAGGCTTAGGGCCCCGCGTGACTAACAAAATCAATGTGGCCTCCTGGAGGTCAGGGCCCCTGGGCACGTGCCCTGCCTGCCAGGTCGGTAATTCGGCCATGATTACTATACGTTTACTGTAGCTGGCTAGACTAACTAGACTAATTGACCAATCTTTATTTTTTTTACTAACATCAGGTAATTGAGTGACTGTCAGTGAGTGACATAACAAGAGGAAAACTGCTGATGCACAACCAAGGTTTGAAATTGCACCTTGTGTATTCTACTATTCAAATTCTCATCAGTAAGTTGAGTATCAACTTGAGACCCCGACTGAGTACCCCCCCCCCAAAAAAAAGTAGCTATGTCCCTGCTGACAGTCACTCAATTAGCCAGTGGTGTAAAGTACTTACGTAAAAAATACTTTAAAGTACTACTTAAGTCAATTTTTGGGGTATCTGTACTTTACTTTACTATTTCTATTTTTGCCAACTTTTACTTTTACTTCACTACATTCATAAAGAAAATAATGTACTTTTTAATCCATACATTTTCCTTGACACCCAAAAGTACTCGTTACATTTTGACAGGAAAATGGTCCAATTCACGCACTTATCAAGAGAACATCCCTGGTCATCCCTACTGCCTCTGATCAGGCGGACTCACTTAACACAAGTGCTTCATTTGTAAATTATGTCTGAGTGTTGGAGTGTGCCCCTGGCTATCTGTAAATACCAAAAAAATATTTTTTTTTATTGTTCCATCTGGTTTGCGTAATATAAGGAATTTGAAATGATTTATACTTTTACTTTGACTTTTGATACTTAAGTATATTTGAGCAATTCCATTTACTTTTGATACTTAAGTACATTTAAAACCAAATACTTTTAGACTTTTACCCGCAAGCCCTCCGAAGAGGCAATACAGGACTAAGATTGAATCGTATTACACCAGCTCCGACGCTCTTCGAATGTGGCAGGGCTTGCAAACTATTACAGACTACAAAGGGAAGCACAGCCGCAAGCTGCCCAGTGACACGAGCCTACCAGACGAGCTAAATCACTTCTATGCTCGCTTCGAGGCAAGCAACACTGAAGCATGCATGAGAGCATCAGCTGTTCCAGATGACTATGTGATCACGCTCTCCGTAGCCGATGTGAGTAAGACTTTTAAGCAGGTCAACGTTCACAAGGCCGCAGGGCCAGACGGATGACCAGGACGTGTACTCCGAGCATGCGCTGACCAACTGGCAAGTGTCTTCACTGACATTTTCAACATGTCCCTGACTGAGTCTGTAATACCAACATGTTTCAAGCAGACCACCATAGGCCCTGTGCCCAAGAACACTAAGATAACCTGCCTAAATGACTACCGACCCGTAGCACTCAAGTCTGTAGCCATGAAGTGCTTTGAAAGGCTGGTCATGGCTCACATCAACACCATTATCCCAGAAACCCTAGACCTACTACAATTTGCATACCGCCCCAACAGATCCACAGATGATGCAATCTCTATTGCACTCCACACTGCCCTTTCCCACCTGGACAAGAGGAACTCCTACGTGAGAATGTTATTCATTGACTACAGCTCAGCGTTCAACCCCATAGTGCTCTCAAAGCTCATCACTAAGCTAAGGACCCTGGGACTAAACACCTCCCTCTGCAACTGGATCCTGGACTTCCTGACGGGCCGGCCCCAGGTGGTAAGGGTAGGTAACAACACATCTGCCACGACTCCAACACCATCATTAAGTTTGCCGACGACACAACAGTGGTAGGCCTGATCACCGACAACGATGAGATAGCCTATAGGGAGGAGGTCAGAGACCTGGCCGTGTGGTGCCAGGATAACAACCTCACCCTCAACGCGATCAAGACAAAGGAGATGATTGTGGACTACAGGAAAAAAAAGAGGACTGAGCACGCCCCCATTCTCATCGACGGGGCGGTAGTGGAACAGGTTGAGAGCTTCAAGTTCCTTGGTGTCCACATCACCAACAAACTATCATGGTCCAAACACACCAAGACAGTCGTGAAGAGGGCACGACAAAGCCTATTCCCCCTTCAGGAGACTGAAAAGATTTGGCATGGGTCCTCAGATCCTCAAAAAGTTATACAGCTGCACCATCGAGGGCATCCTGACTGGTTGCTTCATCGCCTGGTGTGGCAACTGCTCAGCCTGCGACCGCAAGTCACTACAGAGGGTAGTGCGTACGGCCCAGTACATCACTGGGGCCAAGCTTCCTGCCATCCAGGACCTCTATACCAGGCGGTGTCAGAGGAAGGCCCTAAAAATTGTCAAAGTCTCCAGCCACCCTAGTCATAGACTGTTCTCTCTGCTACCACATGGCAAGCGGTACCGGAGCGCCAAGTCTAGGTCCAAAAGGCTTCTTAACCTCTATGGGATCGGTGTCCCGTATACGGGAAGGTTGAGCTAACGTGCGCTAATGTGATTAGCATGACTGTTATAAGTAACAGCAAACTTTCCAGGACATAGACATGTCTTATATGGGCAGCAAGCTTAAATTCTTGTTAATCTAACTGCACTGTCCAATTTACAGTAGCTATTACAGTGAAGAAATACCATGATATTGTTTGAGAAGAGTGCACAACAACAAAAAACTTTATCACGGAAACTGGTTCGATACATTCACCTCTGAAGGTAAATAATGTACTTACATTCAGTAATCTTGCTCTGATTTGTCATCCTAAGGGTCCCAGAGATAAAATGTAGCATAGTTCTGTTTGATAAAATCAATTTCTATATTCAAATGTAGGAACTGGGTTCTACAGTTTGAACCCCTGCTGTCTCTGGCTCCACACCCACCCCTCCTGGCCATCTAGATGTGTGAAAGTTAGTGTATAAGCTAATGATCCATCATGTATGACATTCCTGGGAGTGTGTAAACTTACATTTTGTATTACCATATCATTTTTGTATGTTCTCTATAGGTATGTACTTAAAATGTATCAATTGACCAATTCAGCACATTTGGGCAGACTTGATACAAAATTGTCCAGTATTGCAATGCTTCACTGGATCAATCTGAAACGTTGCACACACACTGCAACATTTTCTCTCCAACCCATAGCAAAATGTTTAGAACTGCATTAAATAAGCTTTAAAACAGAGTTTTTTTCTCTCAACCACATGGCAAAATGAGGAGAATCGCTTGGAATGTTGCTTTAAAACTGCAAAATGTTCTCTCTTCCCCATGGAAACATTTGCAGAATTGCGGAAATGTTGCTTTAAAACTGCCACATTTTCTCAATGCCCTATGCAAAATTATGTAGAATTGCAGGACATTAACTTTAAAACTGCAAAATGTTCTCTCCGCCGCCAAGAGGGGGGCCACTAAAATGTTTTGCCCCCAACCAAATCTTGCTTAGGGCCCCCAAAACGCTAGAGCCGGCCCTGTAGATATCTTACTTGTACAGCTCTTGCACACTTGATAATTATGCAACAACTTTCTCTGTAGATGGGCTATGATAATGTTGGATAGCATTCACTGAACATTTATCCGCTTCTAAATCACTATTCCGTGTGACATTATCCACCGTGTGTGCTAGAGATTATTCTTGCCAATCGCATGCCCATAAGGAAGGAGCCTGTAGAATAATGCCTATATTTTTTTACTGCCATTAAAAGGAACAGTTCACATTAAGCCCTTTCATCTAAGCCCTCCCACTGGGCACAGATGGCAGTTCAGCGTCTATTTCACGTTGGTTCAACGTAATTACGTGGAAACAACTTCTCTTTTTGAAAATTGCCTATGTGGTACCGGTATGAGTCAGAAACATTTATTCTACTGTCAAAATTGACTACAAAGTGTAAATAGGATAATTTTGGTCATAAAGTCAGTTTCGTCCAAAACTGAGATTTGCGAGATGATAGGGAAACATTTTATGTCACGGAATGAATGGTACCATAACAATTTTCCGTGGGTTGTTTAAAAAAAAATCATTTCCACCTGCCCACAGCTGGCAGCACCCAATCAATATCCCTATGGGGCTAGTGAGGGACCATCAGTAAATTAGACACTGTACATGGGACAATATTTTAAAAGGTTAATAGCTCCAAATAACAATGACTTAAAAACCTCAAACCAACTATAAATTGTAGAAATTCATATACAAATATTGAAAGCATTTAATGAGACAACTGAAAGATGTGCAACATGAAAATATTGTCCCATTTACATTGTGTAGTTTATTGACGGTCCCTAACTAGCCCTGGAGAGAGGCTATCCAAAGTCAAAACAACTTTGCCACGGTCACACACCAGCCGGCTGAAGCTAATTGGCTAAATAATTTGGCTTACTCTTCCCACCTGCGAACACAAACAATAGACACCCACATCAAACCAAACCCCGAAACCAACTCACATTTGAATTCAGTTTCTTAATTAACCAAATCTAAAACAAGGCCAAATCAGGAAGTGCAGCCGCCCTTTAATGACATCATTGAGGAAATCTAGATAGAAACATGATTATTAAAGACGCTAGTATTAGGTTAGGAAGAAATCATGCTGCGAGTGTAGATCTACTTATCACTCTTATTGCTATCTGTATTTATAACCTGTGTGCCACACAGAGTGAAAAACCCTACAGCACTGTATCTCAATGGAGGCAACACTTTATTTGACGCTTTGAATGTTGCCAGTGATAGAATGTATATCATCCATTATCACTCTAAAGCGATAGGTCTCTGATGTGTCAGAAAGCTTGTCCACTGTCTTTGATACCAGTGAGTAACGAGAAACAGGTCTGTCTGTCTGTCTCTCAGTACCTCAGGTCTGTCTGTCTGTCTGTGTCCTCGACTGGCAGTAATGTGGCCCAGCTGACCAGATTGGTCTCAGCAGGGCCCAGAATTAGCCAAGTAAACAAGGGATTGGGAGGGATATCTTGCAGAGTGTGGCTTTGTATCATTTGTCTAAATTTGTCAAGCCACTGAAGCCAGGGTAAAAAGCCCAGTAATACTTGGATTTGCAATTCCAAAAGAGCCCGACCAGGACTCAAACCTGGGTCTTCTCAACTGTCATTCAAACAGCCATTACACCAAGAAGTCCAAAGCTCTTCATGAGTTCGCTATTGGTTTTGTTGTAGGTTAGCTATATACAAATTTCATCAGATTAAATGTATATGTTACTTGTAGTACTTGTGTTTTTCACAGCTGAAGGTGACAGACTACCATGTGAGGTGTTCTGTCGTGTCTCGCTATGCCCACACCACAATCCAGAGCTCTGTGTGGAACCAGCTACCTGTCACCAAGGAGGCAGCTTTCGAGGTGGACCTGCCCTCTGCTGCATTCATCTCCAACTTCACCATGTGAGTCAGAATCACACGCTTCAAGTTTACTTTATCATCCTCTCTCTCTCTCTCTCTCTCTCTCTCTCTCTATATATATATATATATATATATATCTCTCTCTCTCTCTCTCTCTCTCTCTCTCTCTCTCTCTCTCTCTCTCTCTCTCTCTCTCTCTCTCTCTCTCTCTCTCTCTCTCTCTCTCTCTCTCTCTAGGCCTGTAATCAAATTAACTGTTATATCCCTTGGAATTATATCCTTCTTGCCTGGATCCCAGTCTGTTTCTGCTCCCTTGCCAACTCCTTATGCTTGACAATGAGTGACAAGGAGTTGGCATTATAGCACAAACAGACTGGCACTCAGGCTAATATCCTTCAGGATCAAAAGGACATTTATTTTCAGCCATAAAGGGGATCATTCACATGCTGGAGACAGTAGGACTCACCTCAGAGATTCTAACATTAAATTAGTACAAAAAAAATTTAATAGAGGGAAATATTGTTAATAGCAGGGTAAATGAAGGTATTAAATAAACAAAACTAATCCTGAATACCAGTCAGGTCAGTGGTTCCGGACAAACTCCCCCAAATAAAAACTTCAGAGGAAATATGTCCGGTGTGGAGAGGAGACACATCATTTGATTACTAAGAGGGCTGAAAACCACTCTCCCATTCTCCTTTTAAAAAAATATATGAAATATAAACAAGATAAAAAAGTCAACATTACAGACCCAACGAGGAACCGTAGCCTGTAGTTGGGTTTGGGAGCAGAAGCGGGTCAGAAGGGGGAGGGGTCGGAGGGACCTTAAAAGCAGATGAATACCCGGCTTTATAAATGTAAGTCGGAAAGTTAATAGAGAAAATGACAGGAGGTTGCACCGTTTTCTTCCCCCTCTCTCTCCTGCGAAGTTTACCAAGGCACTGAGCCAAGGTACACGTGCACAAAACCCATACACAACTACATACTGACACACAGCCTACACATGCCATGCACAGACTTATTTACATGTAGTAAAATGGGGGGCGTAAACTCTTGAAAATAGATCGTTTTACATGCATATAATCTCATCATCTCTTTTTCTGTCACTCACTCACTCACACACACACACACACACACACGACACACACTCGACACAGGGCCGCCTGCTCTTCACCAACTAACTCAGTAGGAAAATAACTGTGCGACTGTATTTCTTTAGTTCAGTGGCGTTTCTCAACGTGGGACTGAGGGCCTTGTGTTCTGTGTGTAGGTCACTCAATTGCAGCCGTTCCCAGTTCCCACTCCCTCTCAGCCACACATACATCCATACCGCTATATTTTCCACCCTGGTAAACACACCATTCCATTCTGCTCTGTGTCTGAAACAAGACTTGCTTCAAGACTTGCGGTTGGTCCCTGTTGGTTTTTATTTTAATATATTTGTTCAAAGGACTTGACCTTATTTTAGCACAGGAACTGTATGGTTGGGATTAAGGTCTATGTGTGAGCTCTGGTTCAGTTTGATTGGGAAATGGTTGGGAAATGGTTGGGTGTAGATTCTCCAGGGCCATGGATGGGGTATCCGAGTGTTACTCGATCTCGTTCCAGTAATCAAGTGTGGGTCCCAAATGCCACCCTTCGGAAAGTATTCAGACCCCTTGACTTTTTCCAAATTTTGTTACGTTACAGCCTTATTCTACACACAATACCCCATAATGACAATGTGAAAACAGGTTTTTATAAATGTTTACAAATGTATTACAAATAGAAAACATAAATACCTTATTTACATAAGTATTCAGACCCTTTGCACACGAATGCTGTGAAGTACAGTATATTATTGCTTTGTAACGCATGACTGATAATAGTTACCATAAAGGAAAGCACAGTTATGGTAAAGGAAAGTCTATTTACTGTCAATAAACCTTTTTATCTACCTTTTACCCGTTTTCCATCTATGAGACCAAAGCATGTTTGTTAACATAGTCTGACCATTGTGAGTTACCCAGTTATTTCTGTCCTCTTATCTTACAGCACCTCCAATGGCAAAGTGTACATCGCCCAGGTGAAGGAACGGAGCGCCGCCAGGAAGATATATGACGCAGCCAAGAAACAAGGAAAAACAGCTGGACTTGTTGCCACCAAGTCAGTCTGAAAAAGTATTTGGTACCACATTCACTCTTTGATATGTGTTTTATTCAGATGTATTTACTTTGTGTGTGAAAGCGTAACAAACTACTTCCATTTTTCTCTAGATTTTCTGCAGTACAAATCAGACATCCATCACCTACCCACCACATACACTCACATCTTTCTACATCACTTTAGTCTAGATCCTACTCCATCCCCTCAAGGCTCTCGCAGACATTCTTTCAGTTTCACCAAAGACCACAGACGGCATCACTCCAATATTGTCTCTCTCTGTTGACCACAGACGCCATCACTCCAATACTGTCTGTCTCTGTTGACCACGGACGCCGTCACTTCAATACTGTCTGTCTCTGTTGACCACGGACGCCATCACTCCAATACTGTCTCTCTCTGTTGACCACGGACGCCATCACTCCAATACTGTCTCTCTCTGTTGACCACGGACGCCATCACTCCAATACTGTCTCTCTCTGTTGACCACGGACGCCATCACTCCAATACTGTCTCTCTCTGTTGACCACGGACGCCATCACTCCAATACTGTCTCTCTCTGTTGACCACAGACGCCATCACTCCAATACTGTCTCTCTCTGTTGACCACGGACGCCATCACTCCAATACTGTCTCTCTCTGTTGACCACGGACGCCATCACTCCAATACTGTCTCTCTCTGTTGACCACGGACGCCATCACTCCAATACTGTCTCTCTCTGTTGACCACGGACGCCATCACTCCAATACTGTCTCTCTCTGTTGACCACAGACGCCATCACTCCAATACTGTCTCTCTCTGTTGACCACAGACGCCATCACTCCAATACTGTCTCTCTCTGTTGACCACGGACGCCATCACTCCAATACTGTCTCTCTCTGTTGACCACGGACGCCATCACTCCAATACTGTCTCTCTCTGTTGACCACGGACGCCATCACTCCAATACTGTCTCTCTCTGTTGACCACGGACGCCATCACTCCAATACTGTCTCTCTCTGTTGACCACGGACGCCATCACTCCAATACTGTCTCTCTCTGTTGACCACAGACGCCATCACTCCAATACTGTCTCTCTCTGTTGTTTCTCCTCTGCTGTGGTTTTTCTATCTCAGGGAGAGGGAGATCGAGAAGTTCCGCGTGGCGGTGAGTGTTCCCTCGGGGACCCGGATGTCCTTCTCGCTGTCCTACGAGGAGCTGCTGCCCCGCAGGTTGGGTCGCTATGAACTGACCCTGGGTCTGAGGCCTGGAGGACTGGTCACTAACCTCACCCTGGACGTCAGTATAGCGGAGAGGACAGGACTCAGTTTCATCAAGGTCCTCCCGCTGAAGACCAGCCGACTGCTCTCCAACACTGTCACAGGTAACATAGGAAAAGACAGCCATCAATGTTAACTGTCAAAGTAGTAGTACTAGTTGTGATACAATCAGCATGTTTAGGGGATCAGTTTGAGCAAGGCAAAGCGCAGAATCACTAATGGCAGGTAGCCTAGCGGTTAGAGCATTGGGACGATAACCGAAAGGCTGCTGGTTCGAATACCTGAGCCGACAAGGTGAAAAATCTTGAGCAAGGCACTTAACTCTAAATTGCTCCAAGGGTGCTGTACTACTATGGCTGACCCTGTAAAACAACACATTTCACTGCACCTTTCTGGGTTATGTGACAATTAAACTTACAAAAAGAATCATTCTGGATCACAATAATGAGTAGTTATTGTTTTATTTTATTTAACCTTTATTTAACCAGGTAAGCCAGTTGAGAACAAGTTCTCATTTACAACTGCGACCTGGCCAAGATAAAGCAAAGCAGTGCGATAAAAACAACAACACAGAGTTACATATGGGGTAAAAAAACATAAAGTCAAAAAATACAACAGAAAATATATATACAGTGTGTGCAAATGTAGCAAGTTATGGAGGTAAGGCAATAAATAGGCTATAGTGCAAAATAATTACAATTAGTATTAACACTGGAATGCTAGATGTGCAAGAGATGATGTGCAAATAGAGATACTGGGGTGCAAAAGAGCAAAATAAATAACAATATAGGGATGAGGTAGTTGGGTGGGCTAATTTCAGATGGGCTGTGTACAGGTGCAGTGATCGGTAAGGTGCTCTGACAACTGATGCTTAAAGTTAGTGAGGGAGATAAGAGTCTCCAGCTTCAGAGATTTTTGCAATTCGTTTGAGTCATTGGCAGCAGAGAACTGGAAGGAATGGCGGCCAAAGGAGGTGTTGGCTTTGGGGATGACCAGTGAGATATACCTGCTGGAGCGCAGATTACGGGTGGGTACTGCTATGGTGACCAATGAGCTAAGATAAGGTGGGGATTTGCCTAACAGTGATTTATAGTTGGCCTGGAGCCAGTGGGTTTGACGACGAACATGTAGTGAGGACCAGCCAACAAGAGCGTACAGGTCACAGTGGTGGGTAGTGTATGGGGCTTTGGAGACAAAACGGATGGCACTGTGATAGACTACATCCAATTTGCTGAGTAGAGTGTTGGAGGCTATTTTGTAAATGACATCGCCGAAGTCAAGGATCGGTAGGATAGTCAGTTTTACGAGGGCATGTTTGGCAGCATGAGTGAAGGAGGCTTTGTTGCGAAATAGGAAGCCGATTCTAGATTTAACTTTGGATTGGAGATTCTTAATGTGAGTCTGGAAGGAGAGTTTACAGTCTAACCAGACACCTAGGTATTTGTAGTTGTCCACATACTCTAGGTCAGACCCGTCGAGAGTAGTGATTCTAGTCGGGTGGGCGGGTGCCAGCAGCGTTCGATTGAAGAGCATGCATTTAGTTTTACTAGTGTTTAAGAGCAGTTGGAGGCTACTGGAGGAGTGTTGTATGGCATTGAAGCTCGTTTGGAGGTTTGTTAACACAGTCTCCAATGAAGGGCCAGATGTATACAAAATGGTGTCGTCTGCGTAGAGGTGGATCTGAGAGTCACCAGCAGCAAGAGCGACATCATTGATATACACGGAGAAAAGAGTCGGCCCAAGAATTGAACCCTGTGGCACCCCCATAGAGACTGCCATGGGTCCAGACAACAGGCCCTCCGATTTGACACATTGAACTCTATCTGAGAAGTAGTTGGTGAACTAGGTGAGGCAGTCATTTGAGAAACCAAGGCTATTTAGTCTGCCAATAAGAATGCGGTGGTTGACAGAGTCGAAAGCCTTGGCCAGGTCGATGAAGACGGCTGCACAGTACTGTCTATTATCGATCGCGGTTATAATATCGTTTAGGACCTTGAGCGTGGCTGAAGTGCACCCATGACCTGCTCGGAAACCGGATTGCATAGCGGAGAAGTTACGGTGGGATTCGAAATGGTCGGTGATCTGTTTGTTATCTTGGCTTTCAAATACTTTCGAAAGGCAGGGCAGGATGGATATAGGTCTGTAACAGTTTGGATCTAGAGTGTCACCCCCTTTGAAGAGGGGGATGACCGCGGCAGCTTTCCAATCTCTGGGGATCTCAGACGTTACGAAAGAGAGGTTGAACAGGCTAGTAATAGGGGTTGCGACAATTTAACTGTCTGTGAACTGACTGGGTGTTCTCTGGCCTCCCTCCTCTTCCATCCAGGTGAGTCGGAGGCTCCAGCCTCCACCCAGGTCCAGCAGAACCCTCGATGTGCCCGTGTGCACTACAGCCCCAGCCTGCAGCAGCAGAGCAGTGCCTCTTCTAAGGGACTCAACGCTGACTACATCATCCAGTACGATGTAGAACTCAGTGACCTCATGGGGGACATACAGGTCAACACACAAGCACTACACACTGTCTAGGACTAAACTCCTACACAACAAATACTGTACAAACGACAGTATCTAGTGAGACAATAATCTATTCAAGTGAGTTATTATTCTCTTCTGTTGGCCTCTCTCAGGTGTTTGATGGATACTTTGTCCACTACTTTGCACCTCGGGGGCTTCCTGTGGTCCCCAAGGATGTCATCTTTGTCATTGATGTCAGTGGCTCCATGATTGGCACCAAGATCAAACAGGTACAGTATAAGTATTACAGATGTAGGATCTTAATTTGACCTATATTGTCACAGCAAAATAATGCAGCAACAGGATTGGAACGTTTAGTCCATAATGTTGCTTGATCAGTGGTTAGGCTGTCAGCTGGCCAAAAGTAGGCTACATGAAAAGTGCAACACTGTTAATATAACCGTGTGTTAGTGTGGATTTTCTGTGAATGTATGTAAATCACGAAGCTCATCTGCATTTCCTGCTGTGCAGGAAAATTCTCAGTAACAAAAGAGTGATCAAATTAAGATCCTACATCTGTACCTCTCTCATATTGCATCCAGCTACACCTAATTTATTTAGACAAGAATGACAACATTGACTCTACATTATATAGGTCAATAAATGATCCTTTCTCTTCTCTCTGCATTTGTGTGGACCAGACAAAGCAGGCGATGTCCACTATCCTGGGAGACCTGCGTGAGGGGGACCACTTCAACATCATCACTTTCTCAGACAAGGTCCACACCTGGAAGAAGGGTCGCACAGTGAGGGCCACGCGGAGTAACATACGAGACGCTAAGGACTTTGTCAAGAGGATCATCGCTGAAGGATGTGAGTGGAATTGAGTCTGATGTACTTGACATATATCTGCAGCAACCTGACAAGACCATGAAAACACTGTCGGTATTTCTCTCTTCTTCATTTCATTCCATCTTCTGCCTACTCTTCTGCCTCCTCTTCTGCCTCCTCTTCTGCCTCCTCTTCTGCTTCCTCTTCTGCATCCTCTTCTGCATCCTCTTCTGCCTCCTCTTCTGCATCCTCTTCTGCCTCCTCTTCCGCCTCCTCTTCTGCCTCCTCTATTCCTTCCACCTCCACCCCTCCCTCTCTGCTCACCCCTCCTTCCCATCTGTCCCTGTCTCCTCCAGGGACCAACATCAATGCGGCCCTCCTCTCAGCCGCCCAGCTGGTCAACCCTCCCTCCTCCTCCTCCTCCTCCGGTGGCGCCCGCCGGGTCCCTCTGGTCATCTTCCTGACGGACGGCGAGGCTACCATCGGCGTGACATCCAGTGACTTCATCCTGAGCAACGCTAAGAGCGCCCTGGGCGCCGCCTCTCTGTTCAGCCTGGCCTTCGGGGATGACGCTGACTTCCCTTTGCTACGGCGCCTGGCACTGGACAACCGCGGCGTGGCGAGGATGGTGTACGAGGATGCGGACGCCGCACTCCAGCTGAAGGGATTCTACGATGAGGTGGCCAGCCCACTACTGTCAGACATCCAGCTGACCTATATGGACGACCAGGCCTTTGACGTCACACGCTCCCTCTTCCCTAACTACTTCCAGGGCTCCGAGCTGGTGGTCACTGGGAAGGTCAAGCCAGGGGTCATGGACCTGAAGGTTTGTATCGTTTATATCATGTTGCTTGATCTATGTTTGTCTACTGTTTATACCATAAGATGAAAGGAAATGTACACTTTAATTATTAATATTGTAATGGCCAATACAGATTTATCTTATCTTCTCTATTCTTTCATTTTCTTCTCAGGTGTTTCTGACGGCCAGTGGCTCCAAGCAGAAGGTGAAGCTGGAGAATGACGTGTTGGTGTCTAAAGGAGAGGGGAATGGGACAGTGTTCTCTATGGGCTGCCCTGGGGGCATGGACGGGATCTCCAGCTTTGTACGGCGTCTCTGGGCTTACTTCACTATCAAAGAGCTGCTGCTGGCCAAACTGAACAGCACTGACCCGGCCATACAGAAACTGTTGGGAGAGAAGGCCACCAACCTCTCCCTCAAGTACAACTTTGTCACGCCTGTTACATCCCTCGTTGTAGTCAAGCCTGATGCCGATGAAATTCCTACCTCAGCGTCAACTACGACAGTTCGACCCACCACCACCACCACAGCTACTACAACAACCACAGTAGCCCACACTCCTGCCACCAAAATAGTCTCCCCCATCCCTGTGAAAAAGCCCAGGACAATCAAAGCTAAACCAGACCCTCTTGTCACAAAGCCTCCACCTCTCCAACCACCTCAACCAAGAAAGGGCTCCACCCCACCAACAAAACCCAACCCAGCGAAAACAGTGGCTCCACCATCCCCCAAGAAAACCACTATGACTACCACTCCCAGCCCCAGTGCTGTCAAAACTGTCCCTGTCCCTCTCTCAGGGAAAACCCCTACCCCTCCTCCCAGCTCTCCTAAAACTGCTCCTGCCCCTCCTGCCAGAATAGTCAATAACCACCTGCCCAACTTGCTCAAAACAGCTGCCGCTCCTGCACCCGGGAAAACCACCACCACCACCACAACCCCTCCACCCACCACAGTGAAGGCCGTCCCTACAACCACCACCACTACCACCCAACCCAACACAGTAAAGACTACAGTCCCTACAACTGTGAAAACCACCACCTCCACTACCACCACCACCTCCACTACCACCACCACCTCAGTCAGAGCCGACCCAACCCCTGCTCCACAGCCTGGGAAACCCACTACGCTGCTGCCCATCTCTGTTAGAACAGTCCTCCCTCCAGTTAGAATATCCCTCTCCTCCTCTTCCTCAGATAACGCCACCACGTCTGCCGCTGATGCCCACCAACCTCAGGTCACCACACTCCTGTACAGTCTTCAGTCTGTCTCCCCTACTCCAGCTCCACAGGGCAATAACACAGACACTGACACAGACACCAACACAGACACAGACACAGATGTGGACCAGATTGCCACCTTTGTCTCTGCCACATTTGCCCCCATGCCAGGTGTCACAGATGGACCGAAACTGTGGGAGGCTGCAGGACTCTTGGGTAGGTCTTCCAATAATCTCGGAAACTCAGAACTAAAATATTGCGTAATCGTGCCAGATCTTAGAAAATATAGTAGAACGGTAGTTCCTCCCCCCTCTCTCTCAAAGTTCCGTGCAAGAATATGGGCCAAATGTCCCCCCTCCCACTTCCGAAATTCGAAAGATGCGAGCACCTGCAAAATCGTGATTTGTCCAAAAACAGCTCACTGGAACAATGTTTTTTGTTAGTCGTCACATCCCACAGTCTGTTGACAGTTGCTACGATATCAGTTATGTTACGTGCATCTGTCCACAAGAGATAAGTCCACTCTCTAATGTCTATTTCACTTGGAACTCCAAATAGCAGTATGCAAAGTATAGGCGAATAGTCATAGTCTAAGGATACATTTTTACTGAATACCAGTATTGCATATCATATCAATTGCTTTACATCAAGTATTGAATTTACAGTCCATATCTTGTACCTGTCTATCAGAGAAATAGTACAATAGCTAGAAGATAGATAGAGGACTCCTGATATCTCCAGGAGTGATGAGTATATATATTTTTGTCTTTATCTGTTGTGGTCTAGTACTGTCTTTTTGCTAGCTAGGGCCATCTACTCTCTACACCTACTCTCTCACTTGAATATCTTACCTTGTTATTTACAGATTATCTAATTTTGCTCTTTTGTAGCTTTGTCAACTATGTTTGTGTTTTCTATACCAGTTTGTACCTCTCCCTGTAGGCTTTACAGACGTTCCCCACCCTTGGCTGAAACCCTTCTAATTTAGTGTACCCTGCGCACACAACTGGGGGGCAGGTAGCTTAGTGCGTAAGAGCGTTGTGCCAGTAACCGAAAGGTCGCTGGTTCTAATCCCCGAGCTGACTAGGTGAAAAATCTGTCGATGTGCCCTTAAGCAAGGCACTTAACCCTAATTGCTCCTGTAAGTCGCTCTGGATAAGAGCGTCTGCTAAATGACTAAAATGTAAATGTAAAATGAATAACGGGTCTCTGGCAGTGTTTGGAATTGCCGATCTGCGGTCAAGAACGCTGAGTTCATCTCAGCCTATGCTGCCCTTCAGTCTCTTGACTATTTGGCCCTTACGGAGACATGGATCACCCCAGAGAACACTGCTACTCCAGCTGCTCTTTCTTTACGTGATTATGTTTTCTCTCATAGTCCGAGAGCATCTGGTCGTCGCGGTGGTGGCACAGGTCTACTCATTTCTCTTAAGTGGAGATTTTCTATTTTCTCCTTCTCTTACCTGTCCATCTCCTCATATGAATTCCATGCTGTCACTGTCACTTGTCCACTCAAGCTTAACATTATTGTCATCTATCGCCCACCAGGTGCCCTTAGAGAGCTCCTCAATGAGCTTGACACTTTGATAAGCTAATTTCCTGACGATGGCTCACCGCTCTTCGTACTTGGTGACTTCAACCTCCCGACATCTGCCTTCGATTCATTTCTTTCCAACTCTCTCTTTCCCCTCCTTGCCTCTTTTGACCTCACCCTTTCCCAATCCCCTCCAACTCACAAGACAGGCAATACACTTGATCTCATCTTTACTAGAGGCTGCTCGCCCACTAATCTCACTGCAACCCCCCTCCAGGTCTCTGGTCACTACTTTGTTTCCTTTTCTTCCTTTCCTCCAACCCTAACCCTACTCAGATGGTCATGCGTCTTCGCAATCTTCGCAATCTTCGCTCTCTCTCTCCCACTACTCTCTCCTCTTCTATCCTATCATCTCTCCCTTCTGCTAAATCCTTCTCCCTTCTGTCTCCTGATTCTGCCTCTTCGACCCTACTCTCCTCCCTTTCCGCATCCTATGACTCGCACTGTCCCCTTTCCTCCAGGCTGGCTCGGCCCTCCCCTCCTGCTCCGTAGCTGAGTGACTCATTGCGAGCTTACAGAACAGGGCTGCAGGCAGCAGAGAGAAAATGGAGGAAAACTAAACTTCCGGAGGAGCTATCATCCTTTCACTCCGTCCTCTCTACCTTCTCCTCCTCTGTTTCCGCTGCTAAAGCCACTTTCTACCACTCTAAATGTCAAGCTTTTGCCTCTAACCCTAGGAAACTATTTCCCACCTTCTCCTCCCTCCTTAATCCTCCACCCCTCCCCTCCCCCCCCCCACCCCCCTCCTCCCTCTCTGCGGACAACTTTGTCAACCGCTTTGAAAAAAAGGTTGACAACATCCGCTACTCATTCACAGCCTATTGAGTCCACTGGTCTCACTCACACAGAACTACCCTACGCCGTGACCTCTTTCTCCCCTCTCTCTCCAGATGACATCCTGCGACTAATGAGGTCTGGCCGCCTGACAACCTGCCAGCTCGACCCCATTCCCTCCTCCCTTCTCCAGACCATCTCTGGAGACCTTCTCCCATTCCTCACTTCCCTAATCAACTCATCCCTAACCACTGGCTGCGTCCACTCTGACTTCAAAAATGCTTGAGTTGCTCCCCTCCTCAAGAAACCAACACTCGACTCATCTGATGTCAAAAACTATAGGCCTGTATCCCTTGTTTCTTTTCTTTCTGTTTCTTTTCTTTCTCGTTATCTCTCTCAGAATGATCTTCTTGACCCTAACCAGTCAGGCTTCAAGACGGGTCACTCAACCGAGACTGCTCTTCTCTGTGTCACGGAGGCTCTCTGCACTGCCAAAGCTGACTCTCTCTCCTCTGTTCTCATCCTCCTAGATCTATCCGCTGCCTTTGACACCATGAACCATCACATCCTCCTCTCCACCCTCTCAGGGCTGTGCGTCTCAGGCTATGCACACTCTTGGATTGCATCCTACCTGGCAGGCCGCTCCTACCAGGTGACGTGGAGAGGATCTGTGTTTGCACTACGTACTCTCATTAGTGGTGTCCCCCAGGGTTCGGTCCTAGGCCCTCTCCTCTTCTCTCTATACACCAAGTCACTCGGCTCCGTCATATCCTCACATGGTCTCTCCTATCATTGCTATGTGGATGACACTCAACTACTTTTCTCCTTCCCCCCTTCTGACACCCAGGTGGCAACACGCATCTCTGCGTGACTGGCAGATATCTCAACTTGGATGTTGGCCCACCACCTCAAGCTCAACCTCGACAAGACGGAACTGCTCTTCCTCCCGGGTAAGGCCTGCCCACTCAAAGACCTCTCCATCACGGTTTACAACTCCACAGTGTCACCCTCCCAGAGTGCAAAGAACCTTGGCGTGACCCTGGAGAACACCCTGTCGTTCTCTGCAAACATCAACGCAGTGACCCGCACCTGCAGGTTCATGCTCTACAACATCCGTAGAGTACGACCCTACCTCACACAGGAAGCGGTGCAGGTCCTAATCCAGGCACTTGTCCTCTCCCATCTGGACTACTGCAACTCGCTGTTGGCCGGGCTCCCCGCTTGTGCCATCAAACCCCTGCAACTTATCCAGAACGCAGCAGCCTTCCTAGTTTTCAACCTTCCCAAGTTCTCTCATGTCACCCCGCTCCTCCGCACACTCCACTGGCTTCCAGTTGAAGCTTGCATCCACTACAAGACCATGGTGCTTACATACAGAACAGCAAGAGGAACTGCCCCTCCCTACCTTCAGGCTATGCTCAAACCCTACACCCCATCCCGAGCACTCCGTTCTGCCACCTCAGGTCTCCTGGCCCTCCCACCCCTAATATATATATATATATATATACATAATATAAAAAAAGAACACTTAACCATTAATTGCACTTGACCCCCCCCTTCTAGCTCTGACTCTACTGACTGCTACGTTATTGAGGTAAAATGTACTTTCTATGCCTGTGATATGTGGTTGTCCCACCTAGCTATCTTAAGATGAATGCACTAACTGTAAGTCGCTCTGGATAAGAGAGTCTGCTAAATGACTAAAATGTAAATGTTCATTCGAATGCACCACGGGCACTGTACTATCAATCTGCCTTTTCTTTGTTGTGACATGTTCCACTTCTTTCCACCAGATGTCTCCGATTCCATTCAGATCCATAGAAAAGGTGAATCAACCATACACTCTTAGAGAAAAAGGTGCTATCTAGAACCTAAAAGGGTTCTTCGGCTGTCCCCATAGGAGAACCCTTTCAAGAACCCTTTTTGGTTCCAGGTAGAACCTTTTTGGTTCCAGATAGAACCCTTTTGAGTTCCATGTCAAACCTTTTACACAGAGGGTTCTACATGGAACCCAAAATAGTTTTACCTGGAACCAAAAACGGGTTCTACCTGGAACCAAAAAGGGTTATCCTTTGGGGACAGCCGGAATCCTTTTGGAACCCTTTTTTCTTCAGTTTTATCATTCAGTTTTACCTCTGTTTGTTGCACAACATATAATGGAATATAATTATTGGAAGGGATGCATGCTGTATTTGAATACAGAGATAGTGGATATGAGGTTAAAAAGTGATGAAGTGGTCCTTTAAACTGTGTTAATCTGTGTTTTCTCAATGCTCTTCCTTAGATATGGAGGTGGTTAAAGGTGAGTTATCTCTCTTACTTCCCTGCCATGAAAAACAGATTCATTGTAACAACATTCATGTTGTTGTATCTTAAAAGCTGTTGTTTCTTCCATAGAGATTATGATGACAGCCCCCAGAGGGTATGTTTTAACTGTCTGTGTCTGTCTGGTGTCTAATGATGTCCATCTGATTAAATCTTTCAGATTATGATGCAACCTACGACTATGACCTCGACTATGACTCTTGTAAGTCATAGCTGACAAATACAGTATGAGTCAAAACATTTGGGCACACCTACTCATTCAAGGGTTTTTCTTTATTTTTACTATTTTCTACATTGTAGAATAATAATTGTCTACATTGTAGAATAATAGTGAAGACATCAAAACTATTAAATAATACATATGGAATCATGTAGTAACCAGAAAAGTGTTAAACAAATCAAAATATATTTTATATTTGAGATTCTTCAAAGTAGCCACCCTTTGCCTTGATGACAGCTTTGCACACTCTTGGCATTCTCTCAACCAGGTTTCATGAGGAATGCTTTTCCAACAGTCTTGAAGGAGTTCCCACATATGCTGAGCACTTGTTGGCTGCTTTTCCTTCACTCTGCAATCCAACTCATCTCAAACCATCTCAATTGGGTTGAGGTCGGGTGATTGTGGAGGCCAGCACTCCATCAATCTCCTTCTTGGTCAAATAGCCCTTACACAGCCTGTAGGTGTTTTGGGTCATTGTCCTTCTGAAAAACAAATGATAGTCCCACTAAGCGCAAACCAGATGGGATGGCGTATCGCTGCAGAATGCTATGGTAGCCATGCTGGTTAAGTGTGCCTTGAATTTTAAATAAATCACAGATAGTGTCACCAGCAAAGCACCCCCACACCATCACACCTCCTCCTCCATGCTCCACGGTTGGAACCACACATGCAGAGATCATACGTTCACCTACTCTGCGTCTCACAAAGACACAGCGATTGGAACCAAAAATCTCAAATTTGGACTCATCAGACCAAAGGACATATTTCCACCGGTCTAATATCCATTGCTCATGTTTCTTGGCCCAAGGAAGTATCTTCATCTTATTGGTGTCCTTTAGTAGTGGTTTCTTTGCAGCAATTCGACCATGAAGGCCTGATTCACACAGTCTCCTCTGAACAGTTGATGTTGAGATGTGTCTCTTACTTGAACTCTGTGAAGCATTTATTTGGGCTGCAATTTCTGAGGCTGGTAACTCTAATGAACTTATCCTCTGCAGCAGAGGTAACTCTGGGTCTTCCTTTCCTGTGGCGGTCCTCATGAGAGCCAGTTTCATCATAGCGCTTGATGGATTTTGCGACTGCACTTGAAGAAACTTTAAAAGTTCTTGAAATGTTCCGGATTGACTGACCTTCATGTCTTAAAGTAATGATGGACTGTCATTTCTCTTTGCTTATTTGAGCTGTTCTTGCCATAATATGGACTTCGTCTTTTACCAAATAGGGCTATCTTCTGTATACCAACCCTACCTTGTCACAACACAACTGATTGGCTCAAACGCATTAAGAAGGAAAGAAATTCCATAAATTAACTTTTAACAAGGCCCACCTGTTAATTGAAATGCATTCCAGGTGACTACCTCATGAAGCTGGTTGAGAGAATGCCAAGAGTGTGCAAAGCTGTCATCAAGGCAAAGGGTGGCTACTTTGAAGAATCTCAAATATTAAATATATTTTGATTTGTTTAATACTTTTTGGGTTACTACATGATTCCGTATGTGTTATTTCGTAGTTTTGATGTCTTCACTATTATTCTACAATGTAGAAAATAGTAAAAATAAAGAAAAACCCTAGGTGTCTCCAAACTATTGACTGGTACTGTATATATAACTGTTTAGTTGTGTTGGCCATGTGGATACTTTGTATGTTTCTAAGTTGATACAGATGTTTAACATGTTTTCAGGGGATGAATCAGCATCAAATCCTCGTAAGTATCTAATTGTATTTCTATGTAGTCTAGCATAAGATGAATGTACTTCAGAGATGCCAGTAGCCAGGCTCTGACCTGTCATTGGTTTCAGTGCTTCAGACAGATGAGATCGACATAGTCTCAGTTGTACCTATTGTCCTTCCAGGGCCGGGCCCCCCCTCCAGAATGAGCTCTGTCAGAGTCTTCTCCTCTTCTGGTAAGGGGTCTACAACATGATATAACATGACATAACATGACACAACATGATATAACATGACATAACATGACATGACACAACATGATATAACATTACATAACATGACATGACACAACATGATATAACATTACTTAACATGACATGACATAACATATGACTGTGAAAGTTAAGGTTTCTCACCTCTGTTTTCTTCACGTCCAACATGTTTTATTCTGAAGTTGATGGAGACCCTCACTTTGTGGTCCAGCTCCCTAAGCTGAAACAGAATCTGTGTTTCACGGTGGACGGCAGGGCCAACGATGTACTGAGACTGATGGAAGACCCAGAGAGAGGTTAGTCAGCACAGACTACCAAGACAAGGGCAGAACTGTCATCTTATATTACTGCCATGTAATTCCATTTTAGCAATATGCCGTATAATTTGAGAAGCACTCTAGCATTGTATAGGAACAGATTAGAATGGGAACTCATTAATACGAACACATTCATCCTGTAAATGCTGCCATGCCATGCACGCATGCATACACACAGTTAACAGAAGAGAGCGGCACATCTTGCGCTTCATTGTAATCAGAGGGCTGATATAAATACTATGCAAGCCAGTCTCTCTTGGTTAAGAGTTGAGGAGAGACTGACTGCATCACTTCTTCTTTTTATAAGAAACATTAATGAGTTGAAAATCCCAAATTGTTTGCATAGTCAATTTACAGCTCTGACACACACACCCCACCAGACATGCCACCAGGGGTCTTTTCACAGTCCCCAAATCCAGAACAAATTCAAGAACGCGTACAGTATTATATAGAGCCATTATTGCATGGAACTCTGTTCCATCTCATATTGCTCAAATGAACAGCAAACCTGGTTAAAAAAACAGATAAAGCAACACCTCACGGCACAAAGCCTCTCCCCTATTTGACCTAGATAGGTTGTGTGTATGTATTGATATGTAGGCTACGTGTGCCTTTAAAAAAATGTATGTAGTTCTGTCCTTGAGCTGTTCTTGTCTATTAATGTTCTGTATTATGTCATGTTTCATGTTTTGTGTGGACCCCAGGAAGAGTAGATGCTGCTTTTGCAACAGCTAACGGGGATCCTAATAAAATACCAATACCAACCCTTGTCTTCCTCTCGTCTAAGGTATCATGGTGGATGGTCATTTGATGGGGGCTCCGTCCAAACAAGACGTTGAAGACCGCTCCCGTACTTACTTTGACCAGATAACCATCTCCGCTGCCAGGGGCGGGACAGGTGGGCTGGGCGCCATAGTGATCACCCTCTCATTGGATGCCGTGGTGGTAGAGGGGGAGGGGCGGGACACCCTACCCACCAATCAGCAGGGATATGTGACAAGGCAGGGCGTGATGGTTTCCATGGAAATCAGAAATGACTTCCATCAGAGCTGTTGGATCGAGCTGACGAAGGACATTCGTTTCCTGGTTCTCTTCCACCACTACAAACACCCCAGCTACCTGCAGATGGCACACCTCGGATTCTACATCACTGATGGACAGGGCCTCTCTCCTTCAACCCAAGGACTACTGGGTACATTCCCTTTTCACTCTTCAATTACTTTAAACCGGTTTCTTTGTCTTTTTACACCTGACCCTAAAGCCCCTGCTGTATAAAGGGCTTTAGAAAAATATATAAATATGTATTGATTTAGTGATTGATTGATTGCCCTCCTTGTTCTCGTCCCAACAGGCCAGTTTCAGCATGCTGACATGAGTGTCACACCGATAAAGGACCCTCATGACACACTGCCCCATCCCAGTAAAGAGAGGGTGCTGTCCAGGGGGGTGCTGAGGTGGGGGGCGATACACATGCCCGTCACCCTACAGGACAAAACCCTGAAGGACACCGTGAGGAAAGGTCATCTGGGCAGGTGTTGGGTCGTGCCCAAGGCGCAGGTGGAGAGACTGCTGAGGCATCCCTACCAGAGCTATGTGGTGGATCACCTGTAAATACTCACTGGCTCTTTTCAAATGTCCATCCTAGCACACTACTTAGAATACAATACATGCCTAATTCATTGCTTTATATTAAGTGGTATGCTAGTATGGAGATTGGAACCGAGACACTCATCTAGCTATCCCCTCCACCTCAAAGCTGGGTAGCTCAGGCCATGGGAAACTACAGTGTCTCTGTAAGGACAAACAGCACTGGGACTAGGGTGCTGCTGGCTAGCCTTCCATACCGATGTCACATAGTGGGTTATTACTCTCTCTTCTGAGAGCACCGGTGGCAGTGTGCATGAATGCATATTCATGATTATGAAAAAGAGAGTGAGAGAAAGAGAGAACAAGAGAGACAAATACAATGAGAGACAATGAGAAAAGAGTGAGACAAAGAGAGACAGAGAGACAGAGAGAGTCCAGTAAGTATGCTAAAGAATGATGAGGTAATTCACACAGGTGTCAGACATTAATAAATAAAGGAGATGGGATGATGTCATTGCACCAGTCCTTTCTGAAACAACAATAGTGACAGACTTCTCCTTCTGCTGTTAACAATGCAACAGTAAGATATCTTCATTTTCTGTATACTTCTGCAGACAAATGCTGCTTGATTTTCACATACAGCTAATTCCAAACTCTCGTTCACACAAATCATGTTTCATAAGTACTTTTATAATTCCAATGTTATAACAAATATATTAATAGATCATTTGATTTGAGCAATGTGGAATTTTATAAACAGTGTCAGAGTTGTATTTTTGTTGTGAAGTATAAGTATGTATATTCCTAAAATGACTAAATCTTATAAAAGATTGTCTATGGAACTCGTTTTGGTCTTATTGGGGTAGGTAGTTTTACACAGAAAATTATTTATTTATGTTAAAACACATTGACACTCAGACACTTTGGATTTGACTTTTCAGGTTTGCCATGTGCTTTTAATTTTTTTCTATCATTTCGATCATAGTTGAATTCATTTGATTTGTTTGTTACACAAGACATTATTAAGCATTGTTCACATCCTAGTGATCAAACAAAGGACTGTAAGTCGTTTACTACTCAGTCTTCCCTATGTTTTCCTCAACGTCAAGGGATGTCATCAATAATATTAGTCAAAGGCCAAAACAATTAAATGAATACAGTAAACCACAGTTTAGGCTTTTGTTAAAATAAAATAAAAAGAGAAGACAGTGTCTGGTGAGGAAGGGATAAATGTCCAAATATAACTAGGTACGCTTGCAGAGTAAACTCAATACTATTCACCAAGCTAACATGAGTCCAGTATGAAATTCACACAATGTTAAAACTGTGCACAGTCTGAAACTGTAGAAATTTGTCTAAAAGATGACTGGACTAAAAGGTTGAAAGCTTAATTGAACCCTATGATTGAGGACCAGGCTGTTGCTATTGTCCTACCGTCCTCCATCACAACCTGTTATAAGACCTGTTCATGTTTAACCCATGTAAAACTGTAATAATAACCACTAAATCAGGTCAAACATGATACATGACACAGCAAATAACAACAAAACTAAAACAATGAAGTCGGCATATATGCATCACTTTGAGATCAGTTACGTTATGATAATATAACAAACTAATAGCAGAGAAGCATATTCAGCATTACCTTCCATCACAATAACGTCAGTGAAATCAAATAAATAAGAGCATTGTACTAATAAGACACATAAAGCCACCCCAAATATGTGATAACTGAGGGGTTTAGAGATATAGGTATAGAGGGACTACAGGAAGGGATGCGCAATAATTCCCACTAAGGTCCACCATGTTACTGTAATCGTATTTGAAGGGAAAGGTTGTGGCATCTATCTCAGCATTGCTGCCCACAATTGATATGTACTGTACTGTAAATAACTGACCAAGCTGCAGATCCAAACCTCAAAACAAAATGTCATGCCTGGAAACATATAGATGAAGAGAACACAGCTAACACCAAAGGGTCTGACAGAATGGAGGTTAAGAGTCGCTACAATGGAGGAGACTCACATTAGGGCCCAGCCAAGTCCACTCCACAGAACCATAGGATTTACTAGACCATAGAAATAGAATGAATAGAATTCTAAGATTCTATCTCTATGTTATAGTAGACTATGTGGGTGGTAGTTAGTGGAAATACAATGTTCACAGTTAGCAGTCATGAAAGACACAAGACATTTGCAGCATCAAGTCAACCAACTGACATCAATATCCCTCTAAGCACAGGAATGATCTACAGATAACATTGTTTTCAAATATAATGAAATGATCCAATTATTTAAGAACCCAAACATATTGGATAAGACCCCAAATTAAGGCTAAAACCAAGTAAAAGCAATTGGTTCATACTCTGGGGAGGCACTTCATATAGAGGCCTCAGGACTTTTTGTAATGGTGCATTCTGTTAAGTGTTTTACATTTTGGGAGTGTCCGCTTTTCCCTCCACTTGCTACTGTAAGGTTGCCTAGCAGGAGTCCAAAGGGAATTAGTCTCTCTGTGTGACATACACAACAAGGGTTAGTTAGACCACAACAATGATCTGGAGCTTCCTTTCACTACAAGCCGAGAGTTCAGTCTTCCTTCTTTCACACAAAAGCAATACTTTCCTGATCTCAAGTCTGCGACAGTCCCTAACTACATTAGGTCTTCTCACCTTCTTCATCGTATCTCAACATGTAGTGATCTGATTTACCTTTTGAGTAAAACTTGGTTAATGCTATACGGGATCATTGGGACATCCCTACCCTAAACCTAACTATAACCACAACCCTTACCTAACCCTAAGCTTAACCCTAACCATTTCAACTTCAATGGGGACGTCCCAAGGACCCTGTTTAGACTTTCTCATTTAATGAAAAAACGTATTCATGTAACCTCACCAACATGCCTAGCCTCCAGACAGACCCTCACTGTAACCGTCCTCTCTCACTCTTCTACACAACACATTCCCTTTTCAGTTTGACCTCATAAAGTCCACTTCAGAGTATTACAGTCCATGTTTCCATTTCAAATTCAGTAAACTTCATAACTTCAGCAAGTGAAAATGTGCAACAAATATTGAGAAATAAAACCCTTAACAATTAAAAAAAGAAAGAACGTAAACCATTCAAATCATAACTTTGACTTCACACAACAAACAGAGAAATAAAACGTGGTTTTAGGGACAACAGAACAGTTAGCCACCGGTTAGCTTGCCTGCTAGCACAGAGAACTCAACAGCACTGCAAAGTGAGCACTATCAGTTTGACAGAACAGCCTATTGATATAATAACTTTTTATTTTAAAACATTTTGTCTGACCGAGAGAGATTTGCCGAAAAAAGAGCAGTTGTCTATTTAATAAGTAACACAGGTAAAAGACCAGTAAGTAGGAAGAGAACACGGTGAAAGCAGGGTTGATAGAATGGAATGATCAGTGTGAGAATGGCCAAGCCTTCAGAACGCTGCCGCGTCATCATGTTCTATGTACAATACTACTGTGTATGCATGCATGTCGAAAAGTGAAAAGACTTTTGAAATTGCAACGACAATGAATAGGTCTACCTCTAATGATCATAGTTTAGACATGTAGTTTAAAATGGAATGAGAGACCATATCAACCCTGCCTTTCAGTGAGAGATAGAGATAGGGAATGTGAGTCTTGGAACAATGTGTGCGTGCTGTGTGTGTGTTTTAAATATGTTTGAGTACGGAGACCTCAGAAGAGGGTGGGAGAAAAAGGAGGACAATAACCGAAAGGCAGAACCACACTGTCTACTCTAGAACCTTCTAGAACTCTCCTGAACACTCCCACCATCTCCCATATACAGTACCCTACCCAGTACCCTGCCCCTACAATCTGTAAATGATTTAACTCTTTACCCCTTTGTACTCTTTACCCTGCCCTCAACCACCTCAACCATATGTTCTGCTTTCTTCCATGAACCCCCTCTTCACTCCCTTCTCTGCCCCGCCCTCTCCCTGATGACCCTCCCTCCTCATTGCTCACCCTCCCCAAACACATCGTTCTGTTTGCGTTTCATGTTCTCAAAGTCAAAGTCGCTTCCGGTCATACGCTTGTAGATGTCCTTGATGTCGTTGCAGGTGGTCTCGAAGTGAGTGGTGGCGTCGTAGGCTGACGAGGCAAATATCTGAACGAGACATAAAATCACAACAATTTTTTTTCACTCCACTGCCTTGTCCTAAAACATGTCTCAGAAAGGTGAGGTTTTAGCAATATAGAAGGTATATCTAGATGTGTTTGACTCACCTGGCTCTCAGTACCATCATCTGTGGGCTCATAGAGGTCACTGAGGGACACAAACCTACAGATAAAGAGGGAAGATGTCAGTCATTGACTTACAAAAGCCTCCTTACTGCTATTAATTACATTCATTTGTGATAGCACACATCGTACGAGCTGAGTTTTGGACAGTGATGAAACAACACAAGATATACAGTATAATATAATATATATAAATATATAATATGTATGTCGCTCTGGATAAGAGTGTCTGCTAAATGACTAAAATGTCAATGTCAATGTAAATAAATATATATATATATATATATATATATATATATACAGTACCAGTCAAAAGTTTGGACACACCTACTCATTCAAGGGTTTTTCTTTATTTTTTACTATTTTCTACATTGGCATCTTCATTAAATAGTACCCGCAAAACACCAGTCTCAACGTCAACCGTGAAGAGGCGACTCCGGGATGCTGACCTTCTAGGCAGAGTTGCAAAGAAAAAGCCATAGCTCAGACTGCCCATCTTCATCTTTTATTTTTATTGGCCAGTCTAAGATATGGCTTTTTCTTTGCAACTCTGCCTAGAAGGTCAGCATCCCGGAGTCGCCTCTTCACGGTTGACGTTGAGACTGGTGTTTTGCGGGTACTATTTAATGAAGATGCCAATGTAGAAAATAGTAAAAAATAAAGAAAAACCCTTGAATGAGTAGTTGAGGACCTGTGAGGTGCCTGTTTCTCAAACTAGACACTCTAATGTATTTGTCATCTTGCTTGCTCAGTTGTGCACCGGGGCCTCCCACTCCTCTTTCTATTCTGGTTAGAGCCAGTTTAAGCTGTTCTGTGAAGGGAGTAGTACACATCGTTGTACGAGATCTTCAGTTTCTTGGCAATTTCTCGCATGGAATAAATAGCCTTCATTTCTCAGAACAAGAATAGACTGACGGGTTTCAGAAGAAAGTTATTTGTTTCTGGCCATTTTGAGCCTGTAATCGAACCCACAATTGCTGATGCTCCAAATACTCAACTAGTCTCAAGAAGGTCAGTTTTATTGCTTCGTTAATCAGCACAACAGTTTTCAGCTGTGCTAACATAATTGCAAAAGGGTTTTCTAATGATCAATTAGCCTTTTAAAATGATAAACTTGGATTAGCAAACACAACGTGCCATTGTAAAACAGGACTGATGGTTGCTGATAATGGGCCTCTGTACGCCTATGTAGATATTCCATTAAAAAGCAGCCGTTTCCAGCTACAACAGCCATTTACAACATTAACAATGTCTACACTGTATTTCTGATCAATTTTATGTTATTTTAATGGACAAAAATGCTTTTCTTTCGAAAACAAGGACATTTCTAAGTGACCCCAAACTTTTGAACGGTAGTGTATATATAATATATATATAATATATGCCATTTAGCAGACGCTTTTATCCAAAGCGACTTACAGTCATGCATGCATAAATGTTATGTATGGGTGGTCCCGGGAATTGAACCCACTATCCTGGTGTTGCAAGCACCATATGATCTATCAATTGAGCTACAGAGGACCAAGACAATCAGAGAAGAGGTAGTATAGGAAGAAGAGGTCGTAGAGAGGAGGAAGAGGGAGTAGAGAGGAGGAAGAGGGAGTAGAGAGGAGGAAGTGGGAGTAGAGAGGAAGAAGAGGGAGTTAGAGAAGAGAGGGAGGAAGAGGGAGGAAGATAGAGAGGAGGAAGAGGAGAGAGGGAGAGAAAGAAGAGGAGAGGAAGAAAGGGAGTAGAGAGGAGGAAGAGGGCAGGAGGAGGAGAGAGGGAGTAGAGAGGGGGGAAGAGGGGAGTAAGAGAGGAGAGGAGGAGGGAAATAGTAGAGAGGAGGAAGAGGTTAGTAGAGAGGAGGAGGAAGAGGGAGTAGAGAGGAGGGAAGAAGGGGTAGAGAGAGGAAGGATAGTAGAGAGGAGGAAGAGGGAGAGTTAGAGAGGAGGAAGAGGTAGTAGAGAGGAGGAAGAGGGAGTAAGTAGAGGGGGAGGGAAGAGGGAGTAGAGAGAGGGAAGAGGGAGTAGAGAGGAGGAAAGAGGGAGTTAGAAAAGGAATGAAGAGGGAGTAGAGAGGGGGAGGGAGGGGGGAAGAGTAGGAGGAGGAAGAGGGAAGTAGGGAGAAGTAGAAGAGGAGAGTAGTAGAGAGGGGAAGAGGTATAGAAGGGAAAGGGGGGAGAGAGGAGGAAGAGGGAGTAGAGGGGGAGGAAGAGGAGTAGTAGAGGGGGGGAGGAAGAAGGGAGAGTAGAGAGAGGAGGAAGAGGGAAATAGAGAGGAGGAAGAGGTAGTGAGAGGAGGAAAGGAAAGGAAGAGAAGAGTAGAGAGGGAGGAAGAGGTAGTAAAAAGAGGAGAGGGAGTAGAGAGGAGGAAGAGGGAGTAGAGAGGAGGGGAAGAGGGAGTAGTAGAGAGGGAAGAGGAGTAAGTAGAGAGGAGGAAGAGGGAGTAGAGAGGAGGAAAAGGTAGTTTGAGAGGAGGAAGAGGAAAGGTAGTAGAGAGGAGGAAGAGGGAGTAGAGAGGAGGGAAGAGGTAGTAGAGAGGAGGAAGGGAGAGGGAGGAAAGGGGGTAGAGAGGAAAGAGGAGAGTAGAGAGGAGGAAGAGGGAGTAGAGAGGAAAGAGGTAAATAGAGAGGAGGGAGGGAGTGAGAGGGGGAAGAGGTAGAGAGGAGGAAGAGGGAAAGTAGAGAGGAGGAAGAGGGTAGTAGAGAGGAGGAAGAGGGAGTAGAGAGGAGGAAGAGGGAAGTAGAGAGAAGGAAGAGGGAAGTAGAGAGGGGAAGAGGGAAAAGTAGAGATAGGAGAGAAGAGAGTAGAGAGGAGGAAGAGGAGTAGAGAGGAGGAAGGGTAGTAAGTAGGAGGAAGAGGGTAAAAGAGAGGAGGAAGAGGGACGAGGAGTAGAGAGGAGGAAGAGGTAGTAGAGAGGAGGGAGGGAAGAGGAGAAGAGTAGAGAGGAGGAAGAGGGGGTAGTAGAGAGGAGGAAGAGGGGAGTAGAGGGAGAGAAGAGGTAGAGTAGAGAAGGAGGGGAAAAGTAAAAGAGGAGGAAGAGGGAGTAGAGAGGGGAACGGGAGAGGAGGGAAAAGGGGTAGAGAGGGAAGAAGGAGGGAGTAGGAGGAGGAAGGAAGAGGGGGAAGAGGGAGTTAGAGAGGAGAGGAAGAAGGGAGATAGAAGAAAGGAGAAAAGAGGAGAGTAGAGAGGAGGAAGAGGTAGTAGAGAGGAGGAAGAGGGAGTAGAGAGGAAAAGGGGAGGAGAGGGAGGAAGAGAGAGGGAGGGAAGAGAGGAGGGGGAGGAGGAAGAGGGAGTAGAGAGGAGGAGGAAGAGGGTAGTAGAGAGGAGGAAGAGGGTAGTAGAGAGGAGGGAAAAGGGAGTAGGAAATAGAGAGAAAGGGAAAAGGTAGTAGAGGGGGAGGAAGAGGGAGTAGAGGGGGAGGAAGAGGAGTAGAGAGGGGAAGAGGGAAGTAGAGAGGAGGAAAAGGGTAGTAGAGAGGAGGAAGGTAAGAGGAGGAAAAGGGAGAGGGAGTAGAGAGGAGGAGGAGGGTAAGTGAGGAGGAGAGGAGAGGAGAGTAGAGAGGAGGAAGAGGTAGTAGAGGGGGGAAGGAAAGGGGGGAGAAGAAAGGAGTAGAGAGGAGGAAGAGGGAGAGTAGAGAGAAGGAAGAGGAAGTAGAGAGGAGGAAGAGGGAAATAAGTAGAGAGGAGGAAGAGGGGAGTAAAAGAGAGAGGAGGAAGAGGGAGTAGAGAGGAGGAAGAGGGGAAAAGAGAGGAGGAAAGGGGGAGTAGAGAGGGGGAAGAGGGAGGTAGAGAGGAGGAAAGGGGGTAGAGAGGGGGAGGGAAATGAGAAGGAAGAGGGAAATAGAGAGGGGAAGGAAGAGGGAGGAGAGGGGAGTAGAGAGGAGGAAGAGGGAGTAAGAGAGGAGGAAGAGGGAGTGGAGGGGAAGGAGAGGGGAGGAGAGGAAAGAGGGAAAAGAGGAGGAAGAGGGAGTAGAGAGGAGGAAGAGGGAGTAGAGAGGAGGAAGAGGGAGGAGAGAGGAGGAAGAGGGAGTAGAGAGGAGGAAGAGGAAATAGAGGGAGGAAGGAGGGAAATAGAGAGGAGGAAGAGGGTAGAGAGAGAGGAGGAAGAGGGAGTAGGAGAGGAAGAGGAGTAGAGAGGAGGAAGAGGGAGTAGAGAGGAGGAAGAGGGAAGTAGAGAGAAGGAAGAGGGAGTAGAGAAGAGGGAAAGGAAAAAGGGAGTAGAGGGAGGAAGAGGGAGTAGTAAGAAAAGAAGGGGGGAGAGAGGGGAAAAGGAGAGGGGAAGGGGAAAGAGGGAGGAAGAGGGGTAAAGAGAGAAAAAGGAAGAGGGTAGTAGAGGGAGGAAGAGGAGAGAGAGGGGGGAGGGAAGAAGATAAGTAGAGAGGAGGAAGAGGGAGTAGAGAGGAGGAAGAGGGAGTTTTAAATAGAGAGGAGGGGAAGAGGGAGGGAGAGAGGAGGAAGAGGTGGGTAGAGAGAGGGAAGAAGGGAAGTAGAGAGGAGGAAAGAGGGAGTAGAGAGGAAGGGGGGAAGGAGGAGAAGTAGAGAGGGAAAGGGAAGGGGAGTAGGGGAGGAAGAAGAGGAGTAGAGGGAGGAAGGGAAAAGTAGAGAGGAGGAAGAGGGAGTAGAGAGGAGGAAGAGGTAGTAGAGAGGAAGAGGGAGTAGAGAGGAGGAAGAGGGGAGTAGAGAGGGGGGGAAGAGGGAGAAGTGAGAGGAGGAAGAGGTAGAGGGAAAGGAGAGGGGAAAAGGGAAGAGAGAGGAGGAAGAGGGAGTAGAGAGGAGGAAGAAGGGAGAGAGAAGAGGAAGAGGGGTGAGGAGGAGAAAAAGGAGGGAAGGAAGAGGTAAAAAGTAGAGAGGAGGAAGAGTAGGTAGGAGAGGAGGAAGAGGGTAGTAGAGAGGAGGAAGAGGGAGAGAGAGAGAGGAGAGGAGGAAGGGAGTAGGAAAGGGGGAAAGGAGAGAGGGAAATGAAGAGGAAGTAGAAGAGGAGGAAGAGGGAGAGTAGAGAGGAGAAGAGGAAGTAAGAGGGTAAGGGTAGAGAGGAGGAAGAGGAGTAGAGAGGGAGGAAGAGGGAGGAAGAGGGAGGAGAGAGGAGGAAGAGGGAGTAGAGAGGAGGAAGAGGGAGTAGAGAGGGAAGAGGGAGTAGAGAGGAGGAAGAGGGAGTAGAGAGGAGGAAGAGGGAGTAGAGAGGAGGAAGAGGGAGTAGAGAGGAGGAAGAGGGAGTAGAGAGGAGGAAGAGGGAGAAGGGAAGGAGTTTGAGAGGAGGAAGGGGTAGAGAGGAGGAAGAGGAGAGTAGAGGGAGGAAAGGTAGTAGAGAGAGGAGAGGGAGTAAGTAGAGAGGAGGAAGAGGGAGTAGAGGAGGAAGAAGGGGAGTAAGTAGAGAGGAGGAAGAGGGAGTAGAGAGGAGGAAGAGGGAGTAGAGAGGAGGATGAGGTAGTAGAGAGGAGGAAGAGGGAGTAGAGAGGAGGAAGAGGGAGTAGAGAGAAGGAAGAGGTAGTAGAGAGGAGGAAGAGGTAGTAGAGAGGAGGAAGAGGGAGTAGAGAGGAGGAAGAGGGAGAGTTGAAGAGAGAGAGGAGGAGAGGGAGTAGGAGAGAGGAAAGAGGGAGGAAGTAGAGAGGAGGAAGGGGAAGTTACGAGAGGAGGAAAGAGGGAGTAGAGACATATTTGGTCAATGGGCTCCAGCAGCTCCAGAGCAGGCTCTATCTCAGCCTCAGGCTCGTTGGTCTCCACGGTGGTGCTGACAATGGCGATGTACTTCCCCTGGGCCGCCACATTGTGGGCGTAGGAGATCATACACACGTAGATGTCTGGAGGACAGAACACAAGTTAGATCAGTTCAGGGATAAGGAAAAGGTCTTGATGAATTCAAAGGTAGACGTAGACATACAGTATATACTGTATGAGACATATATTCTTCAGTATAAAATATGCCTCACAAATATGCTCTGTGGCAGTCACTTTGCTTTTCTGGTACCTAATGATGTATTCAATTGAGATTTTACAATTTGACTTTTCTATACTTTTTCACTCTCCAACAACACGGCTTTTATAATTTATGTGAGGTAAACTTACAGGTAGAGAGAACATATGACAATAGGAAGTCAGAAACATCCCATCTTAGTCAACCTGTATTTGGTCCACCCCTCACCTGACTTGCGGTTGACCTGGTTCTGAGGGATGATGATCTGACAGGAGTTGGCATCGTTGGTGTCCTTGATGGGGTGGCTGAGGATGCAAATGACCCTGATCACCTGGCCTGCCTTCCGCACGCGGTCCTGGATGTAGCTGGGGTCACAGATCAGCTGTTTGCACCGAGCCACCTGACAAGGGAAGGACAACATAGAAGACAACAGTGTCAATCTAACATACTGTATTTTCTCTCTTCTACCAATTGTATATGTGCAGGTATTGTTCACTTTTCTTCAGTGCATTATCAATAGTCTTGACTACTTTACTATATGGTAAAGAGATTGGATCTTATAGACATATTAGATTGTGATTTTATAGATAGATTAGATTGTGATTTTATAGAACTGATTAGATTAGATTGTGATTTTATAGAACTGATTAGATTGTGATTTTATAGATAGTTCAGGTTGTGATTTTATTGATAGATTATATTGTGATTTTATAGAACTGATTAGATTGTGATTTTATAGATAGTTCAGGTTGTGATTTTATAGATAGATTAGATTGTGATTTTATAGAACTTTACCTCTCCCTCAGACTTCACTCCCACCACATGACCATCCTCCATCACTATCTCCTCCACTGGTTTGTTGAGCATGTAGGTTCCTCCATAAATTGCACTCAACCTAACAATGTATGAGAGAGAGACTATGAATGATACTTTATTATAAATATGCTAATAATAGGCTAATACACTATTGAAGACGTTTAACATTTACAATTTAGTCAGTTAGCTTTAGCAGACTATTTTATCCTTATCCTGAGTGACTTAAGATCAGAATTCAACATGAACAGCTTTGTCTTACTAAAGAAAGGACATAGAGATTTAGGGATTACAAATGTAACACACAGACCTGGCGAATCCTTGAGGCAGCTCCCCTAGGCCATAGAGGGGGTACAGGTAGGGGCTCTTCCCATATCGGGCCAGGGATTCACTGTACAGCTTGATGCGATTTATGGTCTCCAAACAGGGCACATCAAGGTAGCTGGAGAAAGGGAGACACATGATCAATAGGAGTCAGGGTATGGGTCAATTCCATTTCAATTCAGGAAGTGCACTAAAATTAAAATTTCCTCAATGCTTTTCAATGCATGAACTTGGAATTTCAGTTTACTTCCTGATAGGGGTAATAATGCCTAATCTAATTAGTGACTAATAATCGATCTAAATGCTCTTACTCGTCTGTCCTGTAGAGGGCCAGGGCGTGGCCAGTGAAGTCGATGACATCCTGACCCAGGTCAAACTTCTTGTACACATCTCTCATTGTGGTGACTTTGGGGTCGACGCCCTCGAAGGTCTTAGGGTCGTTCTCGTCAAAGTTGGCCACAAACACTAGGAATTTCCGGAACCTTCTCTTCTCAAACATACCCATAAGATCTGGAGGACACGTGATAAAAACAAATGTGAAAGCTCTGCCTCATATACGATACTATACTGTATATATAGCAGGAAAACGTTAATAAATGTCAAACATGATGGTACATATAGCGAACTCACAACACGATCTAAAGTACAGTTTACTGTATATTCAAACTTACTTGAAGCTAGCGCCTCAGTCTCAGTTGAGGGCACCTTGTAGATCTTTCCTCCCTTGTACACAAAACTACCCTCCACTACTTTGAAGTCCAGGTATCGTGTCACTTCTGTGTATAGCAGCATCTTCACAAGCTGACCTGTTTTATTGGATTGACAGACAGAAAGGATGGTCTTCATTTAATAACTTCAAGGTATCACCATGTTTCATCAACAGCCATGTCATATTTTGCTTTATTGGTATCATGATGGCGATTTGCATTTTTTCTTGGGTAAATTCTACTTCCTACTTATCCTCATTATGTGGTGATGGTCTGCATACATGAATACGTTGAGTAACTGAGCCACATGATTTATGATTGAGGCTATTGGTGTACTGGTTGGTTCTGTATGTATCGATTGGTAACAGGAATATTCATTCATCTAATGGTTTTAATGGTATCTCTCATGTGCAAAAAATAAAATAATCCCACAACTGACCATTGGCCATAAGAAATTTGGGGATGAGGTCCACATTCCAGTCTCTTCCACGACCCATAGACTCTGGAGGGCTGTCAGGCAGCTCAAACCGCTTGTACAGCTGTGGAAGGGAAATATATGCACGAGTGAAAACATCAATAAAGACTCTTACTACTCTTACAAATGTAAAACCATTAACCTGGGGCAGAAGTGACAGGAAGATACAGGAGAATAAAATATCTGATTTAAACCATAGAGGACTGGGTGGAACACTGGAATATATGAAATATGATTGAATATTTGAGTGGATATTGACACACAAAATGATGACCATTAGATCCACAATGTTCCCAGCCCTTACCTCTTCCAGAGGGGTGATAGAGGAGCTTTCACCTCCATAGTAGGGGTTCCTGTCCATGTGCAGAACTTTCTTTCCATTCACAGACATGATCCCAGAGAGGATGCATTCCTAAAACAAAATGAAAGGCAAAATATGAATCAACATTTGTATTAAAAAAGCAATTGTGTGTGTGTGTGTGTATGAGGAGGGAGAGATAGATAGATAGAGAGAGAGGGGGGGGGGGGGGGGGGGGGGGGGGGGGGGGGGGGTAAGAGGGAGGGACAAGATGTACGCAAGCGCCAGCCGATATCTGAGGCATAACAATAATACTGTACTAATAATAAAATAATACTAATAATCCTATTCATTAAAAAAAATAACAATTGTAGTATAAATAAAGAAAATACAATTTTTATCTCTTTGCATCTGCCACCCCAAAATTAAATGAGTGTAGTGGATATTGTTCATATCCAGGCTAAATCATTAACTGTCTGCACTAAAAAAAGATTATTTTATGACATGTATATCGTCCATCGTACTCGTAAAATGTCGGCTTTGTCTTATTGTAAACTATGTACACATTTGCCTCGAATATGGAACTGGGTGTGATGACTGAGGCGAGTCTACGAAACATTATACAGTACTAGGGAGAGGTTCTATTTATTTTAAACCATTCCCAGACCTGCGCAAATGCTGTTCACTGAAGGCCACTACACCTTCACTCTGGGGCTACGCCTAAAGATGCTGCACAACGAATGAACAATGTATTGACAACACAAATGTATCCAAATAAATTGTTGCCTAATTGTATCCATTATTCAATGATATCGTATCAGCTTTGGGGCAGATAGGCTTTTTACCATCACATTTTCCTAAAGTCAGCCAGGGATGCAGATGTTCCTATCAATTGCATTATTGGATGAATAAGGAAACATTGGCAAACTTCATAAATGTAAAGTTTAGTTTGCTACATCACCAAGCCAAGCCTTAATATGAAGCAAATCAAATTGATTAGCCTACTTACCGTGAGTCCGGTGCCCAAAACGATCACATCATATTCCTCATCCATATTGTATAACCGCCTCTCCTGTCTCGCCCTCTTTTGCCTTGTGGAATTTCAGGGAATTGGCAGAAAAAGAAACCAAGTGGAAGAACGGACGCAATTTATCGCAAATATATGTTGGTTAGATGCCGTTTTAAGTTAGTATGTATTCATTTATAATCAGTTATCATTTCTAAGTGGAATATGGTCCACACACTGTCACCAGCGAGAACGACCAAAGATGGCCCTGACCGTGGAACGCTGTGGAACAGCAATGATACATTCGCGTCGGAAAGTAGTGCACATCCCTTGCGTCTGCTCCTCACACTAGGCTACACCCCTAGTCTCATAACTGACGAAACAGAGAAACCTCAAACCGTCCCTCCTCACGTTTAAACAGTTATGTTATTGTATGTTTACGCTATTCATAAAAAGGCTAGATTTGTTTATCTTTTTTTTACTTTTTCAATTATCTTCTATTGTCTGATTAGACTCGAATGTGTGCGTTTTTATTTATTTTTCCCCTTCAGTCCTTTTCATTGAGGTAGTTGCAGCAATTGCGGATGCAGTGGTATTCCTCCGCCAACACTGCTGTTATGAAAAAGCTCAGAAGACTGATAGAAGACTGAAAATAGTTACCGGTAGCTATGTCTTCGATGGGCCCAGTCAACTGGGCGTGTTTATAGGCTAAAAGTAACATCAGCTGTGTAGGCTAAAGTATGACATAATATTAATCTTGCTCATGGAGGCATTATGTTGGCTACTTTGTGTAGCCTATTCATGGTGGCATATAAAAAAAACATTCATTTTAGCCCTATAGGCTAAATCCTCCTCAAGATTAGACACACATGAACATGTCCAACTGCCTACTTATTTATACTATAAGACCACCATATTTAAATAGGTCTAGGGGCCCCCTACATATTGACCATATCGATGAATGACAGCAACGAAAACGAAGTCCGGAAATATGCGCACGCTAGCTGTCACTCATATCAGCATTAATGTGACCTGCTCTGACTGGCAACTCAGGTCCTCATTTCAGGACCACGGAGAGCTCCGCAGGTTTCTTGGACAACAAAGCGCCATGTTTACTTTGAAAGTCCCATATTATGCAACAATATTCTGAGATTAGGCCTAATGAGGGGCCTAAAATAAATATCCTTGCAATTACTTTATCAGATGTTCACAGATAGACAATTGACAGGCCTACAATAAATAGGCCTTCGTTGCTAGGAATCAAAGGCTAATCATAACCTAATGATTACATCATTTTACAGATCCTTATCTAATTTTATGAAATCTCGAATATTGTGGTGATAAATCATTTTCAAAATAATCTGGCTTTATTGGGCTATTTTGGGCTATTTTCTTATTTGCCTACTGCAACTAGTGTTACTGCTTGGCCCCAAAAAAACAGTTTGATTATCATTGAATTGGGTTACTATTTCCCAGTAAATAGTTTATGTAAGCTCGATGTGGCCTTTGTAAGTGTCTTTGCTCTTGGGCAGGGCCGGGGTGTGTTCCGTTCGCGTCAACGTTTGCTACGTTGCGTGATGGTTTACTGAACGACACGTTTCGCCAAAGCAGTGCGCGCAGTTTTTTTAACAGCCTGAGGTACGTTTGCTCCCGTTTGGTGGGTGTGGCCTGGCGGGGTGTGGCCTGATACATATGCTACACTTACACACTGAGGTATAGTAAGAACCATATGGCAACTGCCCTCTGAGTGACCATAATCACAACGTTTTTCAACTGGTGGTTCAGTCGAGTACCGGCTTCGTTGAATTCAACGAGCAGGAAGTGTTCCACTGAAGCACATGACAGTCAGCTGATTTAATCAAATCGTTTTACCCCACGTGACTTGGACTTTACGGAAAAGAAATCTGACGATGGCAGGATCCGAGTCGTCAAGTAAAATGCGTACTAAAATTGCCTTTATTGCTCTTTTATTTTCCCTGTTATCGACTGGAAGTTGCAGCAGTCAGGTACCACTTGTAATGTGGTCCAGTGATGGGTAAATATGTTAGTTTGAAAGCGAAGGGATTTTGAGCACTGTGCTAACTTTATCTATCATGCTAAGCTAACCATTCCAGCTGGATTGCTAGCTAGCATAGCTATACTCACTTTTACAAGACAACGTTAAAATGCTAAAGGCATTAGTACCCTTTCAGATATCATTGGGTCTTTATTAGGTATTGATAATCATTGCCGTGTTAGTTGTTGATTTGAGTCTAACTTTGGTAGTTAGATGTACTGTTATTCTGTTGAGATAATATTATGATGTTGTTCATCTTTCCAGGGACACCTTGCCACCCCTGGCATCTCCCGCTGCTGGTCACATAATATCTAATGTCCAGCTGATGTCCTACCTAAACTCTGCTCTTGGGTCTGCCCCACACAACGTGCTGCTCTTCCTACAGGACAAGGTCAGGACTGAGATTAATCATATAATTGTATTCAGTTGTACCACGTAGAAGTGTCTACTACTTGGCAAAGACTATTTAAAGCTGGGTCACATAGTATGCAATGCCAGTTATATACTGTAATGTCAAAGCTGTACTCTTGCTTTAGGGACCAGTAGTGCAGAGCTTGGCCAGCTACAGTACAGTAACCCACTTGTGATGCCCTGTCCTGGTGTCCTGTCCTGTTGTCCTGTCCTGGTGTTTCCCACTCTGGTGTCCTGTCCTGGTGTTTCCCACTCTGGTGTCCTGTCCTGGTGTTTCCCACTCTGGTGTCCTGTCCTCGTGTCCTGTCCTGGTGTTTCCCACTCTGGTGTCCTGTCCTGGTGTTTCCCACTCTGGTGTCCTGTCCTGGTGTTTCCCACTCTGGTGTCCTGTCCTGGTGTTTCCCACTCTGGTGTCCTGTCCTGGTGTCCTGTCCTGGTGTTTCCCACTCTGGTGTCCTGTCCTGGGTGTTCGGTCCCACTCTGGTGTTGCAATGGCCTGCCCCTTCCTGGTTTACTTCTGTCCTGGTTCTTCCACCTTTTCTGCCTGGTGTTTCAATATGTAGTCTAGTCAATGTGTTCCACTCTGGTGTTGACAGGTGTTTCTTGTTCCTTCCGCCTGTCCGTCGCCCCAACTGGTCGGCCTGTGTAACCTGGTGGACAGCATCGACTACTTTTACTTTCCTTTCTATACCTACTTTTCTGTAGGCAGACGTTGTATATAAGACTAGCATTAACAGTTGTTTACGTCCCTCTGCCAACATGGGCTTGAACCGGGGCACATCGACTACATTTTACATTTCCATTTTAGTCATGTAGCAGACGTTCTTATCCAGAGCGACTTACAGTTAGTGAGTGCATACTGGAAAATACATAATGCCTATACATAATGCCTATACATAATGCCTAACCAGTAACATACATAATGCCCAACCAGTAACATACATAATGCCTAACCAGTAACATACATAATGCCTAACCAGTAACATACATAATGCCTAACCAGTAACATACATAATGCCTAACCAGTAACATACATAATGCCTAGCCAGTAACATACATAATGCCTAACCAGTAACATACATAATGCCTAACCAGTAACATACATAATGCCTAACCAGTAACATACATAATGCCTAACCAGTCACATACATAATGCCTAACCAGTCACATACATAATACCCAACCAGTAACATACATAATGCCCAACCAGTAACATACATAATGCCCAACCAGTAACATACATAATGCCTAACCAGTAACATACATAATGCCTAACCAGTAACATACATAATGCCTAACCAGTAACATACATAATGCCCAACCAGTAACATACATAATACCCAACCAGTAACATACATAATACCCAACCAGTAACATACATAATGCCTAAGCACTAAAGTCCCCATCGAAGCACCGTTACCCATCGCTCCACAAAAACCGCAGCCCTTGCAGGGCAAGGGAAACAACTACTTCAAGGTCTCGGAGCGAGTGACGTCACCGATTGAAACGCTACTAGCGCGCACCTCTAACTAGTTAGCCATTTCACACCGGTTACATATGTAACCCCCCTCTTTTACGCTGCTGCTACTCTGTTTATTATCTATGCATAGTCACTTTAATAACTCTACCGACATGTACATATTACCTCAATTACCTCGACTAACCGGTGCCCCCGCACATTGTACCGGTACCCCCTGTATATAGCCTCGCTACTGTTATTTTTACTGCTGCTCTTTAATTATTTGTTACTTTTATTTCGTATAATTTCATATTTAGTGATTTTTTTGTTGTTGTATTCTTTCTTAAAACGGCATTGTTGGTTAAGGGCTTGTAAGTAAGCATTTCACTGTAAGGGCCAGTATGAAAATGTATGCACTCACTAACTGTAAGTCGCTCTGGATAAGAGCGTCTGCTAAATGACTAAAATGTAAATGTAAAATGTCTATTCGGCGCATGTGACAAATAAAATGTGATTTGATTTAAATTATTTTTAGCTTGTTATATTGTACTGTTTTTAATTAATCTCAAACTCTGAAGCAGATGACACTGACATTGTTGTTGATATGTGCATTTTCTACATAGCTGAGCAAAGATGACTTCACAAAGTATGGAGGAGTTTTTGGAAACAAGCAAGACAGTGCCTTTCCCAACCTGGAGGTAAGTATTCTGTCTTTTGAGGTGGGACATGTTATTGAGATACAAATATGATCAGGGCCATAAATCGTCTCAGCGTAGGAGTGGTGAATAAGATCGCATGGACAGTGGGGATCTAATCCTACATCAGCACTCCTACTTTGAGACGCTTTGTGAATTTAGACCCAGATGTTTATAACTCATTTTGACTCCATTTCTCTACCAGTCTGCATTACAGTCTTCGTCTTCACCGTTGGTGCTGCCTGCCCTGTCATGGCTAGGTGCTAGTGCGGTCCCAGGCCTACTACAGGAGAAGCTGGGTGTCTCCCCACTCAACGTAGACCCAGACACACTGGAGCATCTCCGCCTCAATGCCTCAGAAAACACTTTGCTGGTTATCAACCTGCCCTATTCTTCTGGGTAGTACAATTAAACCAAATGTTTCCAGAGTCCAGGGTTCTGTAGAAATACTTTTTGATTGATTTGTTCACAATCCTACAGTAACTTGAGCATGTATTGTATACTAATGTTCTTCGATTATGTTCCAGTGCTTACCTGTCCTGTAAGGATGTCCTGCGTAACAATGGTACATTTAAGTTTTGGCCATTTGTTGTTCTTTTCAAAATCGTGTTATTTTATGTATTGGTATGTAATGTACCAGTCAAAAGTACTTTACATACATAAATCGTCTCAGCGTAGGAGTGGTGAGTGGGGATCTAATCCTACATCAGCACTCCTACTTTGAGACGCTTTGTGAATTTAGACCGTGTTATTTTATGTATTGGTATGTAAAGTACCAGTCAAAAGTTTGGACAGATTTGAGATTCTTCAAAGTAGCCACCCTTTGCCTTAATGACAGCTTTGCACACTCTTGGCATTCTCTCAACCAGCTTCATGAGGAATGCTTTTCCAACAGTTTTGAAGGAGTTCCCACATATGCTGAGCACTTGTTGGCTGCTTTTCCTTCACTCTGCGGTCCAACTCATCCCAAAGCATCTCAATTGGGTTGAGGTCGGGTGATTGTGGAGGCCAGGTCATCTGATGCAGCACTCCATCACTCTCCTTGTTGGTCAAATAGCCCTTACACAGCCTGGAGGTGTGTTTTGGGTCATTGTCCTGTTGAAAAACAAATGATAGTCCCACTAAGCGCAAACCAGATGGGATGGCGTATCGCTGCAGAATGCTGTGGTAGCCATGCTGGTTAAGTGTGCCTTGAATTCTAAATAAATCACACAGTGTCACCAGCAAAGCACCATCACACCACCTCCTCCATGCTTCACGGTGGGAACCACACATGCAGAGATCATCCGTTCACCTACTCTGCGTCTCACAAAGATATGGCGGTTGCAACCAAATATCTCAAATTTGGACTCATCAGACCAAAGGACTGATTTCCACTGGTCTAATGTCCATTGCTCATGTTTCTTGGCCCAAGCAAGTCTCTTCTTCTTATTGGTGTCCTTTAGTAGTGGTTTCTTTGCAGCAAATCGACCATGAAGGCCTGATTCACGCAGTCTCCTCTGAACAGTTGATGTTGATGTGTCTGTTACTTGAACTCTGAAGCATTTATTTGGGCTGCAATTTCTGAGGCTGGTATCTCAACTGAACTTATCCTCTGCAGCAGAGGTAACTCTGGGTCTTCCTTTCCTGTGGCGGTCCTCATGAGAGCCAGTTTCATCATAGCGCTTGATGGTTTTTGCAACTGCACTTGAAGAAATTTTAAAAGTTCTTGAAATGTTCCAGATTGACTGACCTTCATGACTTAAAGTAACGATGGACTGTAATTTCTCTTTGCTTATTTGAGCTGTTCTTGCTATAATATTTCAGAATGGCTGTGTATAGGTGCATTGATCGGTAAGCTGCTATGACAATTGATGCTTAAATTCAGTGAGGGAGATAAGAGTCTCCAGCTTCAGAGATTTTTGCAGTTCGTTCCAGTCATTGGCAGCAGAGAACTGGAAGGAATGGCGGCCAAAGGAGGTGTTGGCTTTGGGGATCATGGTCCAAACACACCAAGACAGTTGTGAAGAGGGCACGACAAAGCCTATTCCCCCTCAGGAGACTGAAATGATTTGGCATGGGTCCTCAGATCCTCAAAAAGTTATACAGCTGCACCATCGAGAGCATCCTGACTGGTTGCATCACCGCCTGTTATGGCAACTGCTCGGCCTCCGACCGCAAGGCACTACAGAGTGTAGTGCGTACGGCCCAGTACATCACTGGGGCCAAGCTTCCTGCCATCCAGGACCTCTATACCAGGCGGTGTCAGAGGAAGGACCTCAACATTGTCAAAGACTCCAGCCACCCTAGTCATAGACTGTTCTCTCTGCTACCACATGGCAAGCGGTACCAGAGCGCCAAGTGTAGGTCCAAAAGGCTTGTTAACAGCTTCTACCCCCAAGCCATAAGACTCCTGAACAGCTAATCATGGCTACCTGGACTATTTGCATTGTCCTCCCCCACCCCACCCCCTCTTTTACGCTGCTGCTACTCTGTTATTTATGCATAGTCACTTTAACTCTACCCACATGTACATATTACCTCAATTACCTTGACTAACTGGTGACCCCGCACATTGACTCTGTACCGGTACCCCCTGTATGTAGCCTCCCTGCTGTTATTTTATTTTACTGCTGCTCTTTAATGATTTGCTATTTTTTACTTTCTTCTTAACTGCATTGTTGGTTAAGGGCTTGTAAGTAAGCATTTCACTGTAAGGTCTACACCTGTTGTATTCGGCGCATGTGGCAAATAAAATGTGATTTGATTTTAAACGCATTAAGAAGGAAAGAAATTCCACAAATTAACTTTTAAGAAGGCACACCTGTTAATTGAAATGCATTCCAGGTGACTACCTCATGAAGCTGGTTAAGAGAATGCCAAGAGTGTGCAAAGCTGTCATCAAGGCAAAGGGTGGCTACTTTGAAGAATCTCAAATAGATAATATATTTTGATTTAACACTTTCTTTGTTACTATATGATTCCATATGTGCTATTTCGTAGTTTTGAGGTCTTTACTATTATTCTACAATGTGGAAAATAGTAAAAATAAAGAAAAACGCTGGAATGAGTAGGTGTGTCCAAACTTTTGGCTGGTATGGTATGTATTCAATAACTTTCTGTGACTCAACAATGTGTCCTGCAGTATGTCTGAGTGATGCATTTTCCGCTCTCCCTAGATGAGGTCATTGGTAAGGTTCTGAGCATCATGAAAGCCCAGAGTGTGCCCTACACCGCCATTTACACTGGACTCAAGCCCTCACGAGTAAAAAAACATAAAATATGCTTCTAATCTACACCATGTTTCAGCATGTTTTCAGAATTGTTGTTTCTACTGTTCCCTCACCTGACTTGAAATAAAGTAACGTGGTGTACTTTTTGTTATTTTCTATTCATCTTCTCAATAACGTTGTAGCTGTATTTTGATTGTGTTCTTCTCTCCTCCTTGCTCCCTAGGTGATTGAGGAGCCGTCCCTGATTGGCCAGTCTTCTATGAGCCGTTCCTTGCTGCAGGCAGTTGTGGATGAAGTCAAACCTCCTCTGATGTTCAATTCCACCAGAGGCCCTTGCATCATGCTCTGGGCCCAGAATCTCAACGTCAGCTTTAGTGACCAGGAATGGATTGACCTCGGTCCATCGACTTTTGCTCCTGGTGGCTCTGTGAGAACGTCTGGGTCCTTCTGTAATGAAACCAACTCGCAGTGAGCCTGATACTCTCTTTTTACTATGACATGACACTTTTTGCTATGTGTATTACAGTATAGCAGCAGTATAGTAACATCATTGATACTACAGTATAATGACATCACTGACACCACAGTATAATGACATCATTTGTACTACAGTATAGTAGCAGTATAGTAACATAATTGATACTACAGTATAGTCACACCACTGATACTACAGTATAATGACACCACTGATACTACAGTATAATGACATCATTGATACTACAGTATAATGACATCATTGATACTACAGTATAATGACATCATTGATACTACAGTATAGTAATATAATTGATACTACATTATAATAGCAGTATAGTAACATCATTGATACTACAGTATAGTAACATCATTGATACTACAGTATAGTAACATCATTGATACTACAGTATAGTAGCAGTATAGTAACATTGATTAGTTGCCTTATGTGTTATAAGTGTTGCATCTTTTAGCACTATCAAATTACCCAGTTGTGTGTTGACCACAATAGGGAATCAGAGCTCTGTGGCGGAGGAATTGGATATTAATCCTATCTTGTCTTTCTCAGGCTTGTCCTTGATTATGGGAGTTCTGTTTCACCTTACAATCCCTTCCGTCTCATGTAAGTAGATAATGTTAACATTTTAAAATAGATTTTGGTATTAATAAAATACAAGTCAAATATCATAGCAGATTATACCAACAAAGTGTAGACCATCCGTTCCTATGAAAATACACCACCTGTATCTATCTTTTCAATGCATGAACAGTTAATTCCTGGACCTTCCCAATCTTATGTCAAGTGTGAGGTTACTAGAGTCTTATAATTTCCAGCTTCTCCATGAGCCAGCGGCGCTACCCTGTGTCTGCACGAAACTGGTTCACCCTGGACACCGTGGAGTTGGTATTCAACACCCTAACAGCCACCTACAATGGCAGCCACGGAATCTATGCCCCGGCAGAGTACTCTTTCCACTGCCAGAATGTCAACAACTTCCGCAATGCACTTCTGGTGCCCCGCAATCAGAATGCAACCCAGTGGAGAATGCTCTTCACTGACTTCCAGGTATGAATGCTTGAATGTCAGCCATGCAAAGGCAAAGAGCCTTTCAATAAACAGGGTTGAACTTCTAGAGTGTTTATTTTTATTTTCTATGCATCCTTTATTTAACCAGGGAAGTCACATTGAGATTGACATATATTTTTCAAGTGAGCCCCTGCTCCAATCCATTGTTACTAATTTTGCCAGCGTCTGGTTCCCCTCATTTCCATCTAGATCCAAGGCTTCAGCATACTGAACGGGACAACAGATTTCTCCTATGCCAGTGACTGTGCTGGCTTCTTCACACCAGGGATCTGGATGGGCCTGATCACCTCTCTGCTGATGCTGTTGATCCTCACCTATGGCCTGCACATGATCATGCAGCTACGCTCCATGGACCGCTTTGACGACCCTAAAGGCCCCTCCATCTCAGTGCCTCAGTCGGAGTAATGAAGACGAGACAATGCCCCCTAGACTGGTCATGCTGTCTTTCATATGACAATGTTGGACCATAGGAGATGGCACCTCACCTAAGTTATAATAATAATAATAATAATAATAATAGAAGTTATGTTCCCTCCACTTTGATTTGCTCTTGAGTTGTTCAATAAATTCTGTTGTCAGTTGCTTACTTGCTTTAGCCACCGCCCCCGTTCTCTGATTACCAGCTCAGCATTCCCATCCCCTTAGCCTTTATTCTGTGTGTGACCCTTTTTGTCTTACACAAACAGAAAGTCATTTAACAGATGCTCTTATCCAGAGCGACTTACAGGAGCAATTAGGGTTAAGTGCCTTGTGCAAGGGCACATCGACAGATTTTTCACCTAGTCAGCTCGGGAATTTGAACCAGCTACCTTTCGGTTACTGGCGCAACGCTCTTAACCTCTAGGCAACCTGCCACCTAAGGTGGTACATTCCATAACTTCTCATAATTTGCACTTGCCCAAAGGAAACTGCATAAAGTACTGTAAATGCTTCCCTTTGACCTTGATACCTAGTCAGACCACGCATGTGCCAAAGGGGTTTGTTTGTACAAATAATACAGATGATTGTGACAGAGGGAAGCTTTTGGTGCCAATTCAGTGACTGTAATGAATATGATTGCAGCATGTTGTGGGACTGATTGGTTATTTTGCTTGCATTGTAAGTTTCTCAGCTGCTTAATTTAAAGACCAATGCAAGAATTGCCTGTAAATATGAAGTTGAATTTATGTGTGCAGACTTGTGCATTTGACAATGCCTACGCTAAATATTGCTGTTGGAAATGCTTAGTGGGACGAAATGTGAGAAAAGAATGCTGTGCATATTATGCTTTGGTTTCAAAAATACTGTTTTACTCAACAATGCTGGCATTTTTTCATTATTGACATCTGTGAAATTGAATTAAAATGTCAAAACTATCAGTGACCCTCATGCCTCTACACATACAAAATAGCGCTCAAATCCAATGCTTTGCCATTCTCTCTCTTAACAATACTAATGTACAGTGCATTAGGAAAGTATTCAGACCCCTTGACATTTGTTACCTCACAGCCTTATTCTAAAATGGATTCAATCGTTTCCCCCCTCATCTACACACAATACCCCATAATGACAAAGCAAAGACAGCTTTTTAGAAATGTTTTCAAATGTATTACAAATAAATATTAAAATACCTAACTCATTACTTTGTTGAAGCACCTTTGATTACAGCCTCAAGTCCTCTTGGGTATGACGCTACATCCTTGGCACACCTGTATTTGGGGAGTTTCTCCCATTCTTCTCTGCAGATCCTCTTAAACTCTGTCAGGTTGGATGTGGAGCGTCGCTGTGCAGCTATTTTCAGGTCTCTCCATAGATGTTCGATTGGGTTCATGTCTGGGCTCTGGCTGGGCCACTCAAGGACATTCAGAGACTTGAACCCAAAGCCACTCCTGCGTTGTCCTGTTGGAAGGTGAACCTTCGCCACAGTCAGGTCCCGAGCGCCCTGGAGCAGGTTTTCATCAAGGATCTCTCTGTACTTTGCTCCGTTCATCTTTCCCTCTATCCTGACTAAATCAAATGTTATTTGTCACATACACGTGTTTAGCAGATGTTATAGCGGGTGTAGCGAAATGCTTGTGCTGCTAGCTCCGACAGTGCAGTAATATCTAATAATTTCACAACATATACCTAATACACACAAAACTAGTAAGGAATGGAATTTAAGAAAATATACATATATGGACAAGCAATGACAGAGCGCATTGACTAAAATACAGTAGAATATTATAGAATAAAATGCAGTATATACATATGAGATGAGTAGTGCAAGATATGTAAACATTATTAAAGTGACCGTAAACATTTAAGTGACTAGTGTTCCATTTCTTAAAGTGGCCAGTGATTTCAATAGGCAGCAGCAGCCTCTAATGTGCTAGTGATGGCTATTAAACAGTCTGATGGCCTTGAGATAGAAGCTGTTTTTCATTCTCTCGGTCCCAGCTTTGATGCACCTGTACTGACCTCGCCTTCTGGATGATAGCGGGATGAACAGGCAGTGGCTCGGGTGGTTGATGTCCTTGATGATCTTTTTGGCCTTCCTGTGACATCGGGTGCTGTATGTGTCTTTGAGGGCGGGTATTTTGCCCCCGATAATGCATTCGGAAGACCGCACCACCCTCTGGAGAGCCCTGCGGTTGCGGGCGGTGCAGTTGACGTACCAGGTGGTGATACAGCCCGACAGGATGCTCTCAATTGTGCATCTTTAAAAGTTTGTGAGGGTTTTAGGTGCCAAGCCGAATTTCTTCAGCCTCCTGAGGTTGAAGAGGCTCTGTTGCGCCTTCTTCACCACACAGTCTGCGTGGGTGGACCATTTCAGTTTGTCGGTGATGTGTACGCCAAGGAACCTGAAGTTTCTCAACTGCGGTCCCGTCGATGTGTATAGGGGGGTGCACCCTCTGCTGTTTCCTGAAGTCCACGATCATCTCCTTTGTTTTGTTGACTAGTCTCCCAGTCCATGCCGCTGAAAAACATCCCCACAACATGATTCTGCCACCACCATGCTTCACCGTAGGGATGGTGCCAGGTTTCCTCCAGACGTGACGCTTGGCATTCAGGCCAAAGAGTTCAATTTTGGTTTCATCAGACCAGAGAATCTTGTTTCTCATGGTCAGAGTCCTTTAAGTGCCTTTTGGCAAACTCCAAGCGGGCTGTCATGTGCCTTTTACTGAGGAGTGGCGTTCTACCATAAAGGCCTGATTGGTGGAGTGCTGCAGAGATAGTTGTCCTTCTGGAAGGTTCTCCCATCTCCACAGAGGAACTTTGGAGAGCTGTCAGAGAACCATCGGTTCTTGGTCACCTCCCTGACCAAGGCCCTTCTCCCTCGATTGCTCAGTTTGGCTGGGCGGCCAGCTCTAGGAAGAGTCTTGGTGGTTACAAACTTCTTCCATTTAAGAATGATGGAGGCCACTGTGTTCTTGGGGACCTTCAATGCGGCAGACCGTTTTTGGTACCCTTCCCCAGATCTGTGCCTCGACACAATCCTGTCTCGGAGCTCTACGGACAATTCCTTCGACCTCATGGCTTGGTTTTAGCTCTGACATGCACTGTCAACTGTGGGACCTTATATAGACAGTTGTGTGCTGTGTCACTGTCCTCTTGCAATAGGACCAGCTGGATGGCAAAAACAGTGCTATTAGTACCTAAAAAGTAATATTAATAAAAAAATAAGTATTGACCATGCCAAAAGAGTTGAAAAGGAAAGTTTTGAGGGAGGAAAAGAAAGGTTCAATTCTGGCTTTACTGGCAGAGGGATACAGTGAGCGTCAGGTTGCTTCCATCCTTAAAATTTCAAAGACGGCGGTTCATAAGAACAAGGTCAAGCAGCAGACATTGAAGACAACAAAGCTACAGACCGGCAGAGGGCAAAAACGACTCTACTGACCAGGATGACCGCCAACTCATTCGAATGTCACTCAACAACCGTAGGATGACATCAAGTGACCTACAAAAAGAATGGCAAACGGAAGCTGGGGTGAAGTGCACGGTGAGGATGGTTCGAAACAGGCTCCTAGGGACAGGGCTGAAGTCGTGCAAAGCTAGAAAAAAGCCCTTCATCAATGAGAAACAAAGAAGAGTCAGGCTGAGGTTTGCAAAAGACCATAAGGATTGGACTGTAGAGGACTGGAGTAAGGTCATCTTCTCTGATGAGTCCAATTTACAGCTTCGCCCAACACCTGGTCGTCTAATGGTTAGACGGAGACCTGGAGAGGCCTACAAGCCACAGTGTCTCGCACCCACTGTGAAATTTGGTGGAGGATTGGTGATGATCCGGGGGTTCTTCAGCAAGGCTGGAATCGGGCAGATTTGTCTTTGTGAAGGACGCATGAATCAAGCCACGTACAAGGTAGTCCTGGAAAAAAACTTGCTTCCTTTTGCTCTGACATTGTTCCCCAACTCTGAGGATTGGTTTTTCCAGCAGGACAATGCGCCATGCCACACAGCCAGGTCAATCAAGGTGTGGATGGAGGACCACCAGATCAAGACCCATGGCCAGCCCAATCTCCAGACCTGAACCCCATTGAAAACTTCTGGAATCTGATCAAGAGGAAGATGGATGGTCACAAGCCATCAAACAAAGCCGAGCTGCTTGAATTTTTGCGCCAGGAGTGGCATAAAGTCACCCAACATCAATGTGAAAGACTGGTGGAGAGCATGCCAAGACGCATGAAAGCTGTGATTGAAAATCAGGGTTATTCCACCAAATATTGATTTCTGAACTCTTCCTAAGTTAAAACATTAGTATTGTGTTGTTTAAAAATTAACATGAACTTATGTTCTTTGCATTATTCGAGGTCTGACAACACTACATATTTTTTGTTATTTTGACCAGTTGTCATTTTCTGCAAATAAATGCTCTAAATGACAATATTTCTATTTGGAATTTGGGATAAATGTTTTCAGTAGTTTATAGAATAAAACAAAAATGTTATTTTTACCCAAACACATACATATAAATAGTAAAACCAGAGAAACTGATAATTTTGCAGTGGTCTCTTGTTTCTGCAGCTGTATATATATATATATATTTTTTTTTTACAATATTGGCCTCTTACACTATCCTTAACATCCCACACACTGCTTAAACGGGTCACACTGTCCAAACATTGCCTCCAAAAAAAAACATCTGGGATTGTCATTATCTCCAGGAATATTGCATTATGGTCACATTATTAAAATGCAATAGTAAAGTAAACACAAGTTCATTCTCATTAATTGAACATGGAGAACAGAGCAGCCAATCGTGTAAACCTGAAGTTCCCAGCCAATTTGCATAATTTACGTGCATCCATCCACCAGGTTACCATTGTTAAAAGGTAAACAAAAGGAAGACGGAAACATGGCGGCGCGGGATGAAGGTACAATTATTAGCATCTGTCCACATTGCCTTTTTTTATGTCGCAGTTTTTATCTATTTGCATCAATAAAAATGTCCGATCTTATCTTTGAATGTGTAGCTCCCCTGCGGAGCTTCGCCTTTGGCAGCTGCCAAGAGCGGAAGCTATTTCCGATCCACTGTGCACCTAACCGGCTGGGCAACGACCTGTCACTTCAGGGAGCCCCACACCTGGCCCTGGCTGCTATGACAATCATGTTGTGAGTTTCTCTGTCCTATACTGTCATGTTCTTTCAACCACCCTCTATCCCCTATACCTGTTATACTGTTGATTTCAAATAAACCAATTTGGTTGTTTTTAGCATTGTGTAATACATAATGCTTGCTGAAGCTACTCAAACAGCCAGTTAAAATAATACAAGGCGTCCCATCAGGTTGCTACCATTCTGTATGATGTACAGAAGAGACCTGAGAGTGAAAAGGGATACACTCTTGCGGCAAGGACTGCTGCACGGTTTCTGCACTGTGCTCAGGTAGGAGAATTATGATCATGATACATTTTGATAGCCAACATGTTTTTGGAAAAAACGTAAAGGTTGATCTATTGATGTGAGAAATTAGTCAACTTATCTGCATTAAAAGCACTTTGAAACATTGTCTTTTCATAGGCATGCAGATTGTAACCTCTACATCCCTATCATTTTCAGGTCTCTGAATACCCTTCTCTGTAAATGTGTTTTCTTCCTAACACCCAGATAATCACTCATTCTCCTCAGAAGTATCAGCAGGACAGAACCTGGTGTAAAGTGTACCCTCTTGGCAGAACCCCCTTCAACTCCACCACAAAGAGGTTCAGGACCAAGCCTGTTACAGCCGACTCCAACACAGGGTGTGTGTGTGGTTATTGGCAGTGGCACTCTCTCCAAACAGTCCATGACAGGAAAACACTGATTATCTATTGTATAAATGCATTGCATGTATCAATCTTCAAATATATTGACTACTGACAGCAGTTTTTATGATTCAGTCCTGGGGGCATTTGCTCATGATACTACTCGAGAGTCGTAAGGTGTTGTGGCCTATGAACTTTGGCTCCCAGACGGAGGTAGACTGCCCCGACTCGAGAGGAAAGCCTTGAGGACAGAGGTGTGTTTATTTTACTCTGCATTACAATACAAAGTAATACAGAGATTCATGTAAATGTATCTTCAGCAATAACATCTAATGCCATTGCATGTTTGTCTTACATAGCTCCTTTGTGACAAAGAGTTTGCCAAGCAAAGGACTAGTGTGGCATATCTACAGTTGTTCTACTCCTGACTCTGCTGGGGGTCAACCTGATACAAGCACAAATAAAGTGTTTTTATATATCAGCTTTAATATAGATATTCACCAATCTCTCCATGTATACAAAGTGGACAATGAAGTTGCCGGATTTCTGCCCTCATGTGTATTTGGTGATTGGCTAATGTGTAATTTGGTTAAATGAAAGGTTTACATGTTAAAATACAAATCAAAACATTTATTTCCTACTCATTATTTACCAATGACTGAACTCATAATTTGGAAATGTTAAATATTTTCTTTCACGACAGAACCACTCCACACATTTGAAAAATATGAATTGTAAAATGTTTGTTTGCTCATGAATGTACTGGTGAAGAATCTGATAATGAGCAGTGTTTGCCCCGTAGAAAGTTGAGGTGAGAGTCCCTCACTCCAGATGTCCACGTGGGTCCACTTCTCACAGAGGCACAGAACCGTTGATTGCTTCTTACAATTGACCCTTCATTGTGTCTGACAGATAGAAGTCAGAATTAGTAGCTAAGTGTAGTGAACTCTCACTTCTTCCTCCTCACTTTGGGTTTCTTGACCGGCCTCAGGTATGGGTTGTCAATCATGTTTTCTTCACTGGCCTTCACTGACGGAACCACACCCCCAGGGGGCAGCATGGAATTCTCCTTATCAGCTCCAGGATCATCCTGAATTTGAATAAAAAGGTATAGATGAGGAAAATAAACGTAATTTAAAAAATATCTAATTTACAACTAGCCTGGCCCTGGACTCCATATTAGAGATGGATACTAGCAGTGTCATCCCAATAAGGATGTAGCAATCAACACCAGGTACATTTGAATATACACTGTGTATACCAAACATTAGGAACACCTTCCTAATATTGAGTTGCACCCCCCACCCCCCACACCTTTTACCCTCAGAACAGCCTCAATTCGTTGGGGTGTCAAAAGTGTTCCACAAGGATGATGGTCCATGTTGACTCCAATGCTTCACACAGTTGTGTCAAGTTGGCTGGATGTCCTTTGGGTGGTGGACCATTCTTGATACACTCGGGAAACTGTTGAGCGTGAAAAACCCAGCAGCGTTGCAGTTCTTGACACAAACCGGTACGGCTGGCACCTACTACCATATCCTGTTCAAAGGCACTTAAATCTTGCCCATTCACCCTCTGAATTGCACACATACACAATCCATGTTTCAATTGTCTCACAGCTTAAAGAATAATTTAACCTGTCTCCTCCCCTTCATCTACACTGATTGAAGTGGATTCAACAAGTGACATCAATAAGGGATCATAGCTTTCACCTGGTCAGTCTATGTCATGGAAAGAGCAGGTGTTCCTTGGTTTTTCTGTTGAAAGGTTAATTCTGTATAGGCCTAACCACATTGCACTGCAGATAATATAACTCGGGTTAAATATTTCCCTTGGCCCATGTCCCTGACTCACATTGAGGTTGTTGCCTGGCGTGTTCTCGCTGTCGGTCTGGTCGTCCTGTTCAGAGGAGTCGGTCTCCTCCAGAGTCTGCAGCTCCAGTTCTGAGGGCAGCAGGGCACTGAGGTACGGGATGGAGCTGGGCCGCGCTGCGATCACTGGCAATCACAATAACAAAGGCATCAGTATTATTACCAATGCAAACACAGGCACACACTCTCTGTAGTAAGAAATTAGATGAGTGGGAACTGAAAACTTCCATATTAGAAGCATTTTCGTACAGATTGTGAAAGAATGAAGGGAAAAATGTAACAGAATGAGAACCACAACAACGAGCGCTCGCTCACATGGAAAGGCAGTGATGTCATCCTTGAAAAGGCTCTGTGTTTCTCCGGTCTTGGCCATGAAGCGTGTGAGAGCTCGCTCCACGTCTCTCCTCTGAGAGGCTGCCTTCTCTCGCACCACCTGGTAATCTGACACAGGCTCCCGAAACGTCTGTGACAGAAAGACAACAGGGAGGAAACTCACTCAGCTTGTTCATCTTTAAAAATATTTTCACTAGACTACTGGAAAAAAAGTGTAAAAGAATATAAATACTAAGATAAGTATGTTTCTGGCTGGGAAAACTGTAAGAAGTGTGGTTGACTCACTGGAGTTTTGATGTAGGTGTGAGGATCAGGGAACTCAGGGAAGTGGCTGGGGATGTGGAAGGGATGAGTGCGTTTCTGTCCAGCGATCAAGGCCTTCGGGATCACAGGAGCATTCGTTACTGGAGCTGAAAAATACACAGATTGTCAGGTAGGCAACTAGGCATCACACTTACTTTCATTCTAGGACCAGTCACTATTGCTCGATAGTGTTGTGTTTTGTGCTCAATTCTAGTCAAAGGGTGTTTTCACATAGTTTTCTTTAAAAATAACAGATCTCAGTCCTCTTTAAAGTGAACTTTTTGGTTTTAAAAAAAGCAAAAGAACTCAGTTCTCTTTGTATTCACACTGCCATTGCCTTTGAATGAGGACTCAACTCTTTTGCCAGTTCAATTCACCCATTTTGTGGTCCGAGTCCTTTTTGCATTCACATTGCTATGTTTAGAAAGGAACCAAGATCTTTTTCCAAAATTCAGTCAATGCACTCTGGGTTTTTACAAAGTTCAGGACAAGCCATTTCATCAATACGTGTTATCGGACACCTAGATATACAGTTGAAGTCGGAAGTTTATATACACTTAGGTTGGAGTCATTAAAACTTGTTTTTCAACCACTCCACAAATTTCTTGTTAACAAACTATACTTTTGGCAAGTCGGTTAGGACATCTACTTTGTGCATGACACAAGTAATTTTTCCAACAATTGTTTACAGACAAATTCTTTCACTTATAATTCACTGTATCACAATTCCAGTGGGTCAGAAGTTTATATACACTAAGTTGACTGTACCTTTAAACAGCTTGGAAAATTCCAGAAAATGTCATGGCATTAGAAGCTTCTGATAGGCTAATTGACATAATTTGAGTCAAATTGGAGGTGTACCTGTGGATGTATTTCAAGGCTTACCTTCAAACTCAGTGCCTCTTTGCTTGACATCATGGGAAAATCAAAATAAATCAGCCAAGACCTCAGAAAAACAATTGTAGACCTCCACAAGTCTAGTTCATCCTTGGGAGCAATTTCCAAATGCCTGAAGGTACCACGTTCATCTGTACAAACAATAGTACGCAAGTATAAACACCATGGGACCACGCAGCCGTCATACCACTCAGGAAGGAGACGCGTTCTGTCTCCTAGAGATGAACGTACTTTGGTGCGAAAAATGTGCAAATCAATCCCAGAACAACAGCAAAGGACCTTGTGAAGATGCTGGAGGAAACAGGTACAAAGGTATCTATATCCACAGTAAAACAAGTCCTATATCGACATAACCTGAAAGGCCGCTCAGCAAGGAAGAAGCCACTGCTCCAAAACCGCCATAAAAAAGCCAGACTACAGTTTGCAACTGCACATGGGGACAAAGATCATACTTTTTTGGAGAAATGTCCTCTGGTCTAATGAAATAAAAATATAACTGTTTGGCCATAATGACCATCGTTATGTTTGGAGGAAAAAGCAACATCTCAAGACATCAGTCATGGTCATTGTCCTTTTGGAAGACCCATTTGCGACCAAGCTTTAACTTCCTGACTGATGTCTTGAGATGTTGCTTCAATATATCCACATAATTTGCCTTCCTCATGATGCCATCTATTTTGTGAAGTGCACCAGTCCTTCCTGCAGCAAAGCACCCCCACAGCATGATGCTGCCACCCCCGTGCTTCACGGTTGGCATGGTGTTCTTCGGCTTGCAAGCAGCCCCCTTTTTCCTCCAAACAACGATGGTCATTATGGCCAAACAGTTCTATTTTTGTTTCATTAGACCAGAGGACATTTCTCCAAAAAGTACGATCTTTGTCCCCATGTGCAGTTGCAAACCGTAGTCTGGCTTTTTTTTAATGGCGGTTTTGGAGCAGTGGCTTCTTCCTTGCTGCGCGGCCTTTCAGGTTATGTCGATATAGGACTTGTTTTACTGTGGATATAGATACTTTTGTACCGGTTTTCTCCAGCATCTTCACAAGGTCCTTTGCTGTTGTTCTGGGATTGATTTGCACTTTTCGCACCAAAGTACGTTCATCTCTAGGAGACAGAACGCGTCTCCTTCCTGAGCAGTATGACGGCTGCGTGGTCCCATGGTGTTTATAATTGCGTACTATTGTTTGTACAGATGAACGTGGTATCTTCAGGCGTTTGGAAATTGCTCCCAAGGATGAACCAGACTTGTGGAGGTCTACACATTTTTATTCTGAGGTCTTGGCTGATTCCTTTTTGATTTTCCCATGATGTCAAGCAAAGAGGTACTGAGTTTGAAGGTAGGCCTTGAAATACATCCACAGGTACACCTCCAATTGACTCTAATGATTTCAATTAGCCTATCATCAGAAGCTTCTAAAGCCATGACATCATTTTCTGGAATTTTCCAAGCTGTTTAAAGGCACAGTCAACTTAGTGTATGTAAACTTCTGACCCACTGGAATTGTGATACAGTGAATTATAAGTGAAATAATCTGTCTGTAAACAATTGTTGGAAAAATTACTTGTGTCATGCACAAAGTAGATGTCTTAACCGACTTGCCAAGACTATAGAACTTTGTGGAGTAGTTGAAAAATGAGTTTTAATGACTCCAACCTAAGTGTATGTAAACTTCCGACTTCAACTGTATATATATTATTACTTTTTACTCTGCCCCGCTCCATCCTTGACTTTTCCTAAATAAGTCTATATTTTAATTTTATTTAACCTTTATTTAACTAGACAAGTCCATATAACATACTGTTGGGCCGTTGCCTCTCCTTCTCCCGACAGTGGGGCCTGCTCCACTCCTTCTTCCGACAGTTGAAAGTGCAGTGCCCAGCTGATAATCACCCCGATAATTGCCTCGAAAGTGAACCTAAACTATACTGAAACTAATTTCACATACAACAGAGTAAATAAATGAAGTAAAGTATGAGGGGGAGAATGGGTGCGCTGATGAATGAGGGGATGCGAACGATGCAGAATTATGTCATCACCAATTGTGAATGAAGAACAGGGCGGGCCATTCTATTGTATTGATCCATTCTAATTATAATCTTAAAATGGTATGTACCCTATATCCGTCCACCGAATCAAAGCAGTCTTATCAGTCTACTCTGGCCTACTTGGAGTAGGCTACACAGTGAGAGCGTGCATAATTGTACACGCTGAACAGTTTTCTATATCTGGGAAAATATCCACATCGGGCAGCAGGTGAGCGCGTGTCAGAGACCTTACGTTGGCAAGGAGAGAAATGTCACCATGGACATTAACTTTACTGTCATTGTCGAACAATATGCTTGCAAAGAAAACAAGTCTGTTTGGCACCATGAACAAAGTGAGATGGGACCTTCCTCCCTCTGCGCAAAATAAGGCACCTGCACAGCCGTTGTTACAACGTTGCTGAAGAATGACAAGACTATGACAAGACTATGGGAACACAATAAAGAGAAAAACTGAGACTATTACGCACTACAACCAAACAAAGGTCACGTGTAGCGCAGGTGGTAGAGCAATTGCGCTTGCAACGCCAGGGTTGTGGGTTTGATTCCCACTGGGGACCAGTACAAAAATGTATGCACTCACTACTGTAAGTCCCTCTGGATAAGAGCTTCTGCTTAATTACAAAAAAAGTATGTCAAAGTGTATCAAGCAAGTGAAAGTTATGAAAATTGTGTCAACTGTTAGGACAAGGGATAACAGCTAAATAAAATCCAATTGATGCCATTGTGTGGAAATGCACACAATATGAGCACGAGCTGACAATAACTGACTCTTTTTGACTGCTGTCATATCGACACATTCATTATAATGCCATTATTGCTTTTGTGCCGAGTTTCACTATTTATCAAGGAAACTTGGCACTTATAATGATGTTGAGGCTACTGATGTTTTCACCGCGTGTATTTTATTTTATTTATTTTTTGGGGGGGGGTTCATCGAAGCCCAGCGGTTCTAGTGTTAAGAGCTAGAATTGATTTTCTACCTTATGTTGTGATTCTCACCAAATATGTTGTCTTCTCACACTATTCAAACCCCACAATCGAATAAACAGCTTATGAAGCTCTCTTATATATCACATTTTTCAAACAAATAATCTTAATTAAAAACTCCACACATATTTTGGAATTTCTGTGCATCCTTGACAATCGCTAATCAATATCCCAAAACAGCATCAATTTCTTTACGCGAACCTGCACATCATCTTCTCTCTTTTGTAGCACCAATGTGAGGGGTTATGGCAGGGGGAAATGTGTTGCAGTAGACCCTCCCCCCCACTAACAGTAAAGACATACTCACGGGCAGTTATAACCATCCTCTGTGATCTCTTGGCATACACTGGCAAAGTGTTCACATTGAAACCTGTGGTGATACATGAAACATAAGTTAATGAAGGCAAATTAAATAGAGATTTCATTTTCAAGCTGTATTTCTTTAGCATCTTTCCTGAGGTTAAACTCACCCATTTCAATGAGTGTGACCACAGTGTCAGAGAGGGTGGGTGTGATTCTGGCTGTGTGTTCACAGTAGGCCTTGGCACAACGTCCCACTTCAGATATGTCTGAAAAAGCATAGGGAATAGACACCAATTAGTGGTCAGTAATACAGACAATTGTGATGATTTCTTAAAAGGCCTAGTCACGGCTTGTTGTTTAATTCAAGCCAGCAAAGGTTATTGTTAGTTTAATCCCAAACTGAAAACATTTATGAATGACATTTTCAATAACATCAAAACAATGGTTACATACAGCTCTGGATCATCTCAGTGAGTGATTCCACGGCTGCCTTCTCTGCGCTTTCGAACCCACACTCCGTCAGCAGAGAGCTCACCACCACTTGGAGGGTGCGACGCCGGGCAAGTTGGTAGTTCTCTGCCGGGCTGGACGTCGCCTTACCACCGCCCGAACGCTGTAAAACATACAGATGTGGTGAGTGAGACAACCCTTTCTCTCAGGGTTAGCTAACTACAGTTGCTAGCTATATGTCTAGTCAGCATTTTTGACGTCGACACCAGTTTACAAATCGCATGACATGGGATTGTGAACAGCAAGTCAACCACCTTAGGTAGCTAACAGTTACAACATTCGTTTAAACGTAACGTTAGCTAGTGGAAGGCTTTCATTTGATGAGGCAAAACAAAAAAATGTCTAGCGTATTTTAATTTGCTAGTTAGCTAACCTTACATAGCTATGACAAAATATTTTATTTACCCCTACTACAGCACTGAATCCACCCGCCATCACCGCAGGGTCCGCCATCTGCACGGTATGGTGTTTATTTGCCCTCAACTAGCTAGTTATTTCACAAAGTTACGCCTTTCTGACTAACTAATAAATTATGATTAACGCGTTAGCTAGCTAGGCACAGCCAGAAAAACAACACTGGCGTCATTTCCCGCAGGACAGGCAGTTTCTGCTTATGAGATAGATTTGCTGCCACCTACTGCATGAACTGTCTAAAAATCGAATCAAATCAAATGAAATTGTATTGGCCACATGCGCCGAATACAACAAGGTGCAGACATTACAGTGAAATGCTAACTTACAGCCCTTAACCAACAGTGCATTTATTTTTTAATAAAAAAGTAAAATAAAACAACTAAAAAGTGTTGAGAAAAAAAGAGCAGAAGTAAAATAAAATAACAGTAGGGAGGCTATATATACAGGGGGGTATCGGTGCGGCTAGTTGAGGTAGTTGAAGTAATATGTACATGTGGGTAGAGTTAAAGTGACTGTGCATAAATTAGCTGTTCAGGAGTCTTATGTCTTGGCAAGTGAATGTGAGTTAAACCCAATTATATCTATTACATTTACATTTACGTCATTTAGCAGACGCTCTTATCCAGAGCGACTTACAAATTGGATTAACCTACATCATTGGCAGTGGTGTAAAGTACTTAAGTAAAAATACTTTAAAGCACTACTTAAGTAGCTTTTTAGGCTATCTGTACTTTACTATTGATATTTTTGACTACTTTTACTTTTACTTCACTACATTCTTAAAGAAAATAATATACTTTTTACTCCATACATTTTCAATGACACCCAAAAGTACTCATTACATTTTGAATGCTTAGCAGGACAGGAAAATTGTCAAATTCACACACTTATCAAGAGAACATCCCTTGTCATCCCTACTGCCTATGATCTGACCGACTCACTAAACACACATGCTTTGTTTGTAAATTATGTCTGAGTGTTGGAATGTGCCCCTGGCTATCCGTAAATAAAATGGTGGCGCCTGGTTTGCTTAATATTAAGGATTTTTAAATGATTAATACTTTTACTTTTGATACTTAATTATATTTGAGCAATTACATTTACTTTTGATACTTAAGTATATTTAAAACCAAATACTTTTAGACTTTTATTGAAGTAGTATTTTACTGGGTGACTTTCACTTTTACTTGAATAATTTCCTATTAAGGTATCTTTATTTTTACTCAAGTATGACAATTGTGTACTTTTTCCACCACTGATCATTGGTTAAATCTGACCTCAACTTCAAGTCTTTGAATACTGTATGGAACTTTTGTCCTCTTTATGTACACCAATTAATTAGCATTTCAGCGTTCCTGTCCCTTTTCAAAATGTGTGTCCTCTCTGAAACCTAGAGTATATAAACCTTGGATTGCTGATGCTATGTATTGGCCAATGAGAGGCTTTGAAGCCACTGGCCTCTTTATTGGTACACCTCAGAATGAGGTGTGGAATGAATGGAATTCTACAGTATTTCAATTAAATGTTTCAAGGACAGAATTACATAATTACATGTTTTTATGTATTTATTTACTGTAGGGGGAACAGTAACATTAGTACGCTCTAAAAAATCAACCTTAAGGAAAATGTTTTTATATATTTATTTATTTATGTTCAGTTCATATAATATAATTTAAAAGTATGCATTAAGGTGTCTGTAATAGAATATACTTGGCAAAAAACGAAAGTAGACATTTATAAATGCATTTCTTTAGCTGCGCAGTGGCCTTAAAACAGAGCCCCGTCAGTCATCTAGGGTGTATATACATCATTGGGCAGGCTACTTTAGGCTACTCACAACACTGTTTGACATGAACCACATCATGACCCAGTGGTAACATAAAATAGGTTTATTAGGTCGCCAAAAGAAAATACAAATTCTCAGTCAGTCACAGAGCTTCTGCTGCCCAGCAGCCAGTCATAACTGTAGCCTGTTGTTGCATCGGTCCATCTATCCATCCATCCATCCATCCATCCATCCATCCATCCATCCATCCATTCCGTCTCTTCTCTTCTCATTGCTAATAAGTCAAGGGGTCCCTAAACATGGCCAAATTATCATGATAAAATCATCAAGTGCAATCCCTTTTGATTGCCGGGGTGATTTAGCTTATTTCACCACATTTTGTGTTCTAAGTGTTGGTTTCATTAGTGTTCAATCAACATGAGAAGGAGTTGCAGTGCATCTTCAACAGGCATGTGACCTGATAGATGCCCTCCTCTGACGACCTTCCAGTGGCTTCTTAGCGTCAATCTCCGTTTGCAGCTCATCCACAACATCAGGCTCGTCAGTGGTTATCTCTGGCTCCAGCATTTGCCTCTTCTTCTCCTCTGTGATCAGCTTGATCATTTCCTCGTCTAATGGTTCCTGTTCACAAAATGGCATGCATACCGTTTCCACCAGTCCACCGACCACTCCAAACAATGCCAGGGTAGAACCCAGCAAGTACACCTTCATCATGCCCCGACTGGGCCTCTGGCTCAGGATCTCTTTAGCGAATGGAATTATCTCGTTTATGGTCTCCATTGTCTTAAGTTGAGTCTATGGAGGGAAAATAACATGTAATAATTAATAGGCTATTCAATCGCTCTGCAAATAAAAAAACAAAAAAATAATTAGTACTGACCACTGTGCGTACATTTTATGATCATCATAATGCATTAAGTAATATCAGTGAAAATATCTCAAATATTCGGACAATGTAGATTCCACTGTATAATTCTAAATAAGATTGAATGAAGAGTGCACAGAAGAGCAGAAAATATTTAAATGTACTTACGTGTGTAGGGACCTGTTAAATGATTTCTTTAGATTTCGTCTTAGTCAAGCATCCACACGCAAAGATGCAATGAGAGGTGCTGGGTTTTATACACAATGAGATCCATGTCAACTCCCACATAGTGTGAAATTATGAATATTCATGACAGAGTGTTTAGAGCAAATGCAGTGGTGGAGGCAACTGCTTTGAGGCAATGTCTTCAATGTCTGGTGCAATGGGCATTTGTCCAGGAAACAGCCAAGATTGGGTACAAAGGCAAGGTCATCGAAACCCCCATCTTGCCAAAATATATTGTGCAAGTAATATCACGTGAGTCACATGTGTTTGGGTCATGCAACAGAGATGCAATGGTGTGGTTGGACAAGTTAAAGTGATGCTCCAGAGGTTTTGTATAATTTCAGCTAGTAGTTTTGAAAGTAGTGCTCACGAGCCAAAACTGGTCCCCGAACATTGTGCACAATTGTGTACTACGTCATCCATTTCGTATGATATGCTATGTCCTGCAAAATATGATATTTTACGTCCTGCAATTCGTATGATATGTCACGAATTCCAATTCGTACAATATGTTACGAATTTGTAAGTGCTTAAGATCCCGGACTGCATCTTTATTAAGTGTAGGAGTGCTGAATAGGCTACTGTATTACTGCAGTCTTATCACGTGAAAAGCAGTTATCACTCAGCCACTATTGAGTGAGTGTCGGCTTGACAGTGTATGATGCTACGTAATACCACTACAGAAACCCATTGATCCTGCTGCTTTTAAACAGTGCTATGAGTGTGGCATGGTAGTTCTACAATGCAGTCCAATATTTGCTGACGTGTCATCAAAAAAAGAAAGTTAAATTATGTCAAAGGTGAAAACCTGACCCACTTTTGTGGGTCTCATCTACCTGCAATTCTTTGAAGTTGAACTAGGCAAATAGTTCATCATAAGAGTGAAACTTGTATTGCCTACTATTCTTTTGTATTCGGGAATTGACAACTCCACAATGAAGAATAGAGAGAGCTTAGACTAACACTACGCATGTTGCTTAACATTGACCATCATGTGCATTTGGTTGATGGGTTTGTGTCCAGTGTCTGGTTGCTGAACATTGACCATCATGTGTGGTTGGTAGGTTTGTGTCCAGTGTCTTGTACATTAAACACCATCAGGAGAGGTTGACTTGTATCCATTGAGAATTATTTCATGTGAAGAGTACCACCCCCATAAAGATCAATCAAATTATCTCTGTGAACACCCCTTTATTGGTTGGAATGCCCCGGCTGCAGTGTTAGGTTCATTCCTAATCAGATAAAATAATACAGATAGCTTTGGGGAAGTCCCAATGCCTCTGAGACCTCCAGTGTCAGTGCCTTAGCCGATGGGTGTCCACAACAAATGGGTGTATATATTGACATTGATGATAAATTGATGAGGTTACGTTGGATGTGTGTGAAGAACCATGCCCTTTGACATGATTTCCAAAAGCAGGACAAGAGGTGGAAGACAGTCGTCTGGTTCTGTTGTGAAATAGTCTGTTCCCTATCACTCGTCACAGAGGGCCATGTGTTGTCATTTCAGCAATACTGAAATGGCACCGATGGCGATAATAAAAACGTATCATATTGTCAGAACTGGGTGACTGTTAAAAAGGCTTTTTCACACTCCAGACCCACTAACATTCTTCAAAATGTGACTGCTAGTCAGACCAAAGGTATAAAGTCCACTGTAAAATTGCATTGTCACACATTACTATCTGGAATCCTGTGATTCCCACTCACGTAATTTATTCTCATGCCATGTGCAAAGTAGATCCAACCTTTCCCCTCTCACTGGTTCTTGGCCATGGTAAACTCCCTAGAAGTGATGTTGCGTAATGTGGCTGCAATTACGCTGTCAGGAAAACCATTACGTGTAAGAGGAGAGCTACACAGACTCTACATAGACTCTCTGTTTTAGTAAGCTGTGGCTCTGGACTGGCGTGTTTGTGACTGTGAGGAAACTGGGAGACTGTTTTGGGACCGTTGCCCCATATTTCTGGGTTCTGTGCCACGCTCTTTTGCCTGAATAGGCAGTCTGTCTCGGCTAGCTGTGCTCCAAGTCAACTATCTTGTGGTTGGGAGGGGAGGGAGGTGGGGTGGAGGGGTTGGAAAGAGGGATCACACACTGCACGTAGCACTCATGTGGGGACCTTTTCATCCATACCACATGAGAGGAAAGGACAGAAGTACACCAACATTGGATTAGCTAGCTGATTTAATAACATTTGATTAGCTAGCAGTTTTAATAACATTGGATTAGCTAGCTGATTTAATAACATTTGATTAGCTAGCAGTTTTAATAACATTGGATTAGCTAGCTGCTTTAAAGCAGTATTTTTGAAGAGGGGGATTTGGTGGACTGTATAAGAGGGAAAAATAACATCTTTCATATATGTGTTTTCAGATTTAAAAAAAAGAGGCCTGTATTGCTGATGGTTCCCTTTATCTAATATTAGCTTTTGGTTGAAGGTCTGATAACATTCAGAAAAGGGGCAAATACTTTTTCACGGCACTGTATATCTATATATATACAGTTGAAGTCGGAAGTTTACATACACCTTTGCCAAATACATTTAAACTCAGTTTTTCACAATTCCTGACATTTAATCCTAGTAAAAACTCCAGAGTGGCGCAGTGGTCTAAGGCACTGCATCGCAGTGCTAGCTGTGCCACTAGAGATCCTGGTTCGAGTCCAGGCTCTGTCGCAGCCGGCCGCGACCGGGAGACCCATGGGCGGCGCACAATTGGTCCAGCGTCGTCCAAGGTAGGGGAGGGTTTGGCCGGCAGGGATGTGGGTTCGTTTCCCACGGGGGGCCAGTATGAAAAAAATATATATATATATATTTTTAAAAAATACATGTATGCATTCACTAACTGTAAGTTGCTCTGGATAAGAGCGTCTGCTAAATGACTAAAATGGAAAAATGGAAAAAGTCCATGTCTTAGGTCAGTTAGGATCACCACTTTATTTGAAGAATGTGAAATGTCAGAATAATACTAGAGAGAATGATTTATTTAAGCTTTTATTTCTTTCATCACATTCCCAGTGGGTCAGAAGTTTACATACACTCAATTAGTTTTTGGTAGCATTGCCTTTAAATTGTTTAACTTGGGTCAAACGTTTCGGGTAGCCTTCCACAAGCTTCCCACAATAAATTGGGTGAATTTTGGCCCATTCCTCCTGACAGAGCTGGTGTAACTGAGTCAGATTTGTAGGCCTCCTTGCTCGCACACGCTTTTTCAGATCTGCCCACAAATGTTCTATAGGATTGAGGTCAGGGCTTTGTGATGGCCACTCAAATACCTTGACTTTGTTGTCCTTAAGCCATTTTGCCACAACTTTGGAAATATGCTTGGGGTCATTGTCCATTTGGAAGACCCATTTGCGACCAAGCTTTAACTTCCTGACTGATGTCTTGAGATGTTGCTTCAATATATCCACATAATTTTCCTTCATTTACGTTTAGGTCATTTAGCAGAAGCTCTTATCCAGAGCGACTTACAAATTGGTGCATTCAACTTAGGATAGCCAGTGGGACAACCACCCTTTTTTTTTAAATGGGGGGGGGGGGGGGGGGGGGGGGGGGGGAGGGGTAGAATGATTACTGTTATACTATTCCAGGTATTCCTTAAAGAGGTAGGGTTTCAAGTGTCTCCAGAAGGTGGTCAGTGACTCCGCTGTCCTGGCGTCATGGGGGAGCTTGTTCCACCATTGGGGTGCCAGAGCAGCGAATAGCTTTGACTGGGCTGAGCGGGAACTGTGCTTCCGTAGAGGTAGGGGGGCTAGCAGGCCAGAGGTGGATGAACGTAGTGCCCTCATTTGGGTGTAGGGTCTGATCAGAGCCTGAAGGTAAGGAGGTGCCGTTCCCCTTACAGCTCCGTAGGCAAGTGCCATGATTTTGTAGTAGATGCGAGCTTCAACTGGAAGCCAGTGGAGTGTGCAGAGCGGGGTGACATGAGAGAACTTGGGAAGGTTGAACACCAGACGGGCTGCAGCGTTCTGGATAACTTGTAGGGGTTTAATGGCACAGGCAGGGTGCACAGCCAACAGCGAGTTGCAGTAATCCAGACGGGAGATGACAAGTGCCTGGATTAGGACCTGTGCCGCTTTCTGTGTAAGGTAGGGTCGTACTCTGCGAATGTTGTAGAGCATGAACCTACAGGATCGGGTCACCGCTTTGATGTTAGCGGAGAACAACAGGGTGTTATCCAGGGTCACGCCAAGGTTCTTTGCACTCGTCTGGCAGACATATCAGTGTGGATGTCGGATCACCACCTCAAGCTGAACCTCGGCAAGACGGAGCTGCTCTTCCTCCCGAGGAGGACACAATGGATTTGTCAACCGTGAATGCGAGATCATGGAGCGGGCAGTCCTTCCCCGGGAGGAAGAGCAGCTCCGTCTTGCCGAGGTTCAGCTTGAGGTGGTGATCCGACATCCACACTGATATGTCTTCCAGACATGCAGAGATGCGATTCACCACCTGGTTATCAGAAGGGGAAAAGGAGAAAATTAATTGTGTGTCATCTGCGTAGCAATGATAGGAGAGACCATGTGAGGATATGACAGAGCCAAGTGACTTGGTGTATAGAGAGAATAGGAGAGGGCCTAGAACTGAGCCCTGGGGGACACCAGTGGTGAGAGCACGTGGTGCGGAGACAGATTCTCGCCACACCACCTGGTAGGAGCGACCTGTCAGGTAGGACGCAATCCAAGAGTGAG